TAGTTCAATGATGCCCTTAACTGCAGCAGAGGCCCCACTGGCAGCATCCTCAAGCGCTTGATCCAAGTCGTCTGAAGCCAGTGCTTGCACAGCTGCGGTCGTGAATGCTTCCTTGTCAGTAGGTACGATCTGGTACTTGGCAGGGAATTCGACCAGGGCCTTGCGCTCAGACTCGGACAACGAAAAGACGGCCGTGAGACAGGCTGACACTGAAGCTGGACTGGATATCTGCTCATTCAATTTGCGGAGGACACTAGTCGCAGAGGGGAGGACTAGAGAAGACATGGTCGTATGGCTTCAGCTGATTTGCACGGCAGGGTGTATGGCCAATGATAGTAGTTGGAAGATGAATGCGAGCGGATTATATCCTGTCTTCTCTCCGTTTCTGTAGTGCTCTGACGTGCAAATGAGGGGCTTTAATATGTGGTGCGCGATTTTCATTCGTATGTCGCCGGACCTGGAATAACAAGTACAGGAGAAGGACTATAACATCAGAATCAACTAGGATATAGAATATCCATTACTTTTTGGGGCTTCCGGCATAGATTACGTGGTTAATGCAGTGGCAACACCGGATATGCGGCCTGAGACGGGAGTCCTGCATTTTCAGCTTGTCTGCAGCTGCAGGGATTGACATGCAGCTAGTTTATGCAACCCTACTTGGAGCAAACCCCGACGTTGCAGCTCCGCGGCCGTCACTCAGTGGCAAGATGCAGTGATCTATCCTTCTCGACTTCTTATCGTGAATTATGTAGGGATCTGATATGATACCTTCGGCGATTCCGATGATGTACTCTGGGAGGATCAATGATGCTGGTGTATTGAAGGGAGAATGTTGCAAAGTGACGAAGTGACAATCCCACTGCGGATTTTATTTAAAGTCGACATCCACCCGGCAGTGGAAAGAAAAAAACAATTCTCGAGTCCAATTGCCTTGCAAGAAAGTCCCCTACTACTATTACACTCACAAAAAAATTTATCCTCAATTGCATTCAGTGATTGATCATGTCTCCTCTTCCAGCACCCGCCTACACAGCCGACAACTCCCCTCCGAGCTATGATGAGGTCGCCGGAAAGCTAGAGAACCTCATCGGCAGTAACCCAACTGTCGAGAAGGCCCTCGAGGCTGCTAGCTCCCTTTCGGAGGAGGAGATTTTTGTTCTGGCCAATGGCTACGCAGACCATAAGCCACTGCAGACGGACCAGCAAAAGGCCGACTTTACGGTCGGTGTTGGACAACACCTCTCGTCTGAGGAAGGTCAGAATGGGATGGCGCTGTCAGGAACAGCTGCGTCTCAAGCATCGGTGAATATCGACAGCCGTCTCATTGATATTCAGCAAAAGCTGGCTGTCATTGACCAAAAGTATAACGAGGGCTTTGCGGATACCGTTGCCGGAATTCGCCAGGTAAAGTCAAAAAGCCGGTGTTGCTGGCAATTTTTGGTGCTGACTAGTTGCACAGGATTACAATCAAGTTCTTCAGAATAGTCGAAACCTGGCGGCTGATATTTCTCAGAAGGGCAAAAGTGTGTAGCCATCTTTCGGGGTTATTTTGTCAGTTACTTCTCTCTGACCTTGGCATTAGGTTTCGACAAAGTCATCGTAAAATATTGTGCCGACAGCACCATCTCCCTCGAGGACCGAAAGGTCAAAGCCAAAGCCTTCGTCTCGGTAAATTATGCGCCTCTGATTACTCTTATTGCAACTATTTTAGTGAATAATTACTAACAGCCTATTGTAATCGCAGGATACCAACAAGCTTGGGGCGACCGCCGAAGACATCCAGGAACAGTTCTCCGCCGTCAAGAACAACTTTTCCTCCTTCGTAGATACTTACTCTACATGGGCCGAAGGCAAAGAAGGAGAATTGACACAACAAATTGCGGATCTTGAACAGGAGATCCGCAGCCTAACACAGGAACTGAATTCGATTGAGACGGCCCAAAAAGTAATGGTCGCGCTCGCAGGAGCAGCTATTCCAATTGCGAACGCGCTGGGGACTTTATTCGAGCCTGTCAAGCCGTTGATTCTTGTACGTGATAAAGTCCCACAACTAACACTACTCAACCCAAACAAGTTACCTTTTACTAAATCTTGGTTGGTGCAGATTGGAGGGCTCATCTTCGCTGGCGTGTCTTTAGCTGCCGCTCTGGGTCTGTACATTGCCGCTGGCGGTGAGTTTTTGCTTCGCTTCCCTCTGAATAGATCTTGTATGCTAACTATACCCTTTAGTGGTGAAAAACAAAATCAATCAGAAGACCTTTGAAAAAGAGGATCTCGAGAAGCTTCTCGAGACCATCCGAAGTGCGCGTCAGGACCTGCAGGGCATGCAACAGAGCGGGTTGCTGTCTTTCCAAGCCTGTCTGGATGTACTTCCTCAGTACTGGAGCTCCACTGTTCAGAATGCACAGTCAATTTATGACTGGTTGGAAAAGGGCGGCGAGACGGCATGTACATGAAAGAAGAACAAATCTCTCGCGTAGCAGTCATGCTAATACCCTTATCCTAGGCCCGTCCCGTGTATATGAACCTGAATGTGGAGAAGGGTGTGGAGTCTTGTAAGTTTAGATTTCTCTTGATGAATGAAGATTTTGCTAACTGTTCATAGACAATGCCACGGCTGCGTACCTTGACACGTATGCGCGCGGACTGTAGAGTCCAGTATGGACGGCAATATGTTCGAGTCGACTTTGGACGCGTTTGTTCTTTGTAGCTCTCGGAGCTTGACGTATACTGTGTCTTTTATCTGATATTACGCCAATCGTTGCTACTGTGGTTTTTGGGTGCAGGTAGTAGTAGCCTTCCTACATGCTTAGAAGCTACAGTAACCGATTAAGCACCATCGTGTCAGTTTTAGTGAGAAATCTTAACATTTGAGTTTTGATATTGCCAGACTGTATCCTATGTACTACTACCCACCAATCGCTTGCTTCTACCTGAAACTAAGTAACTGCAAGCATGCACAAAACCACATATATTCGCATATGAAGCCAATATTCCAATTAAAGAACGTTCCCTCATCAAAATCTAGTGATCGTGATCAGCTGCTTCTATCTTCCAGGTTCTCTGATAATACCGGTTACCACCCAGACCCATCACTAAGCAAAGACGATGGTATTAAAAAGCATGTATCCCACCGTTTTCTCGAATATCAACCCAACACCAATTGACTCCACCCTCGCCCGAGCGAAGCTTCCCAAAAGCATTTACTTGCCTTTCCACAGCGGCCCCAATGATATCGAAAATTATGACTCCCAGACCTTTCACCAGTGAAAGCTCTGTCTTTCAGTAATTTGTCAATCTGTTCGCCGTAGAGTACCACGTTCAACTCATCTGGTGAGATATATTCAGTGTACTCGGCCACTGTAAACCCACTCACTCACCTTTCCAATTAGAAATTGAACCGATGTCTGAGGGACTTTGATTGTAAGCTTAACATCTGTGAACTAGGGCAATATGCCCGGTTTCTACATCTTGTAGTATTAAATATTTTGCCAAGGATACTCAGCGAGAGTGAACCCAGTGGCTGTCCAATCCAAGACTGGGCCTGAGGTCTGGGGAACCTTGACTGTTAGTTTTATCTCGGTAAACCCCGGGAAATGCCCGTTCCTAATATTTTATAGCATTTATATCATTCCAAAGATATTCAGCGAGAGTAAAGCCGCTGACTTTCCAATCCGAGGCTGGGCCTGACGTCTGAGGAACCTTTACCGTGAGTTTCATGTCTGTAAACTCCGGTAACATGACCTCTGTCCCACATATGCTGGTCGGCAACACCTTGTCTTTGATATGAAAAAGGGATCCGGACGGACGTGAGCGATTATAGCCGAGGTCCTTGTATGCCTGTAGATGGACGTGTAAATAGCAGCAACCGGGATAGTCCAGCCGCGCAGTGAGCGCCTCCACACCAAACGTCGGGTTGTTATTTTGACTTTTGACTTAAGTGGGAAAATAGGAAAGGTGGTACCGGGGGGTGGAGAAGGGTGAATTGAGACCGGGGGTACAAGACAAGTCTAGCCGAACCTATCTTTCTTATTGTTTATTCTGGCCGGTAATTCCTGTAAAGCCCGGGAAGACTATCTCGGTCCCCTTTAGCTCCGCGGTCAGCAAGTTGTCTTTGAGGGACTTTACATCCGGACGGATGTGGGCAATGATAGCAGATCCAATTCCTCGTAATTGGAATATCGCTGGTACCCCCTGTATCCTTTTTATTTATTCGTATTGGCGTCTCCATTCGAGCGAGGTTCCATATGTCTTTATATGGTGGATTTACCAACCTTGTCATAGACATTGACTGCTTGAAATTCGACTAGAAGACCCAGTAAATTTTACTGAAGAACAGTCCACTCTTCGTCGTTATAGCAAGGTGCTATATGCCATATCATCCCTATATTATATTCGTCAATATCTTCAAAAAGTCGACGATCACACGACACCCAACCTGTCCAATTGCCATCGATATTGCCAGCAGCAATATATATCTCCATTCGAAAGTTCAAAAGAAAACAAAGGTGAATTAAGGCCTGGAGATGTAACGAACCCTTTTTTTTTTTGTGGGTTTATTAGCTATATGCCATTCTCAGACCCTGATGATCATATGCGAGTTTGACAACGTATTCATCGACGTTGTCAAAGATGTCCGTCACACTTTCCATCTTTTCGATCTATAATCCCATTCCACAATCAAACGCGGCGTCTGTTGACCATGCAATATTCTCACGTCTCCACCGTGGGAGATAAATAAGTTAATTTCATTATCTTGAGAATATCCACAGCATCAGCATGTTGAGCCAGAGCCCAGCACAGCACAGCACAGCACATTCCTCTGTGGGGTAATACGCGATTTACTGAATTCTCACGTCGCCACTGTGAGTGCGGTACGCGTTGTATGGCTTGGTATATGGAAGATCTTTTAATAGGCCCTATAGAACCCCAGCCAATCTGGCTGTATTGTCAATGTGCTCAAGGTCCACGTCGCAACGGAATCTTACTAGAATAAGTCAACGTTCTTCGAAAAACGGAAGACCTTTCGATAGGACATTCAAGGCTTCAGCCCATATAGCTGTATTGTCAATGTGCTCAGGGTCAACATCAAAGATAGTGACATTGGCAAGATTTGAACGAGACCGAGTTCTGTCATTGACCACAGTCTCCCCATCCATCACATTGACGCCGATGAGTTCCATGCCCGATTCGAAATTGACATCTGGTACTCTGGTCTTGATCCAATCAAGTAGCGCATCTAAAAACTTAGTATCAATGGAAATTGATTGAACGCTCGGGTCGTCAGTCATTTTCCCATAGTAAGTGAAAGCGGATGGAGATTTCGAAAGGCGCGGCTGCATGCGGTGTTGCTCAGAAACTAGTGTAAAGGGGAATTGGGAGCGACGAAGTCGATCAAATAGCGATCTTCCCATCTGGTATCCGAATTCATTGTACCCGGGGACCTCAGACGCTGTAACTGCCGCGGGGGGGGGGGCTGTCGGTCACCCCCTCTTATTGTTCCTAAAACATCCCCCGGCCTGTCTAGATAAACGAGAGGTATCAGCACGTCTGGCTCGAGAGCCTGTCCATCTTCGTCTGCAATAATAACAATTTTCTTCCTGTTTGCAGCAAGATTTCTCCTGACGATAGGTGTGCCGGCTAGATTGTGCGTGTAGGCTACAATGGATGCATCCTGGACCACAAGTTCACCAATGGTATCCCAGTATTTCTTGAATGCGGTCTCCTTTGCTAGCCATTTTGCGTCCTCCTCTGGGGAAGAAGGGCCCGGGCGTTGATCTTTTGGCTTAGATAAGTAGTTGTTGACAACTTCATATGCATTCTATATGTCATACTTGTTTAAATTGGTAATCCCATCCGGAACCACAGTATCATTTCTTTTTGCTCCCGGGGCCAGATTTAGTGGCAGTTTTTCACCGGCGTTCAAACTCTCAGTATATTTTTCCTTGATGTAAGTTGGGAGAGTATAATCATTAATACTTATGCTCTTTTGGGATTGTATATTCTTGAGAGATTGCAAAAACCCGACGAGAGTACTTTATTTCTCAGCATCGGTATAGTTCTCGAGATTAGTTAGGCCCGCGCCTTCATCGGAATCCCATGGACAAGCAGACGTTCTGGACCGGCTCTCGATTTCTCCACGATGAATACGCACGTAATGAATGCTATGCAGTGCGGTGAGTTGATCCATCAGGATATCCACAGCGGTATTACTAGCTCCGAGGAGGAGGACGTTTAAACCACAGTTATAAAGAAATATTGCTATCGCAGTGAGAACGGTGGTCTTGCTGCAATCTGAATAACCCTCCAAAAGAGAACAACCTGCCTTTGTCAGGCGAAGAGATCTGAAGGCTGCTTTCTGCTAGTAAGTCCAGGCTCTTAACTGAAGGAGATGGCGCAATGCTGAGCTAATCATGTTTTCTTTGATTCCCTCTAGGAGGTCCACAGTTTTCAAAGCACTGTTTTCTTGATTTAGAAGAAGGTCATGCTATCAGTAGACTCCATCCTTGCCTGAGCACAGCTTCTCTAGCGCATTAATTTGTTGTTTGACAGGGGCTTTGTTAATATCAAACTTCATGACTCACCGTAGTTAACAGTAGATTCTTCTTTTGGTAATTTGCTAATCCTTCCGCCGTAGAGAACAATGTTTAGCTTATCAGGTAATAAATTCTCGGTATACTCAGTAACTGTGAAGCCACTGATTTTCCACTCAACGGCGGGTCCTGTGACCTGGGGAACTTTAACAATGAGTTTCACGTCTGTATATTCCGGTAACAGGATCTCGGTTCCTCTTATCTCGGTTGTCAATAGGTTATCTTTGATTTGATTAGAATCCGGATGAACGTGGGCCATAATGGCAGATCCAACCCTCATGATTCGAATACCGCATGGAACCTCCTGTAACCTTTTGACTTGTTTATATTAACACCGCCACTCGATTGTTGTTCCATATGCGAATTTGACCATGTATTTGTTAATATCATGGAAAAAGTCCATTGGTCTAAACTTCACAAGAGAGAATCTATAATCTTGTTCATACTTGACTCCGGACTGTCCTTCCGTTGCCTTGACTGTGAAATGTTTCTTGAAGGCAAAGTCCTGGACACATCGAGGCTGCTTCCCATCGATATGCAATGAGAATTCCAGTCGTGCAGAGTGCACCACGTTTTCTGGATGCAACTCGTGCTTTACTTTCGAAATTTCCTCCGTCGCAAATATTTCAAACGAGAGCTTTGATGCAATGTCCCGATCGATGATCCTGAAGCAAACCGCCGTATCCCCATGTGAGAAAGTAGATTTCTCTGGCAGGAATCCGCCATCGGGAAGACAAAAACGAATCCACCTTTCTCTTGGGCCCTTGAAATAAAGCGCTTCTGCGGAGCTGCCCCTGGCCATTGCAATTAGAATGTTCTGAGACTTATCTTGGTTATTTTCCTTAATGCGAAGATCTTCGTTTTCCATTGTCTGTGTACCATCCAAAAAGTATGAGTAATGCGCTTCTCAAATCGGCAAAATTGGTCGTGCCTAAGCGACGGGATTGACTTATCGAGAAAGCGCCGCTTCTAATATTTTCGCTGCTTTCATCAGGTTTCCAGAATTCTTTGATCTCATCCTGAACCCAGAGTTAGTATTGAGCTATAGAAATGGTCCGAAACATTATATTACTGATCTCCTCTACAGCCAGTTTCGCTCCTTGCGGACCTGCTTAGGTGGGGAAGAAGGGGGTTCTTATAGTCGCTCCTGGGTGGTCCAATTCACTTCAAGCCAACACTCGAACTGCTGGATTCCCTGAGGAAAAGGGAGTAAATGAGGATTTACTCACTTCAACCCCAGAGGATCCGGTGTTACTCACTGTATGTATTGAATGTTTTGAGGGAATCAAGACTGCATTGTGAAGCGGTCAATTGACGTACAGGCCGAAACTTCTCACATTAACTGAGAGGAACATCTTCAATCTAGTGAGAATACTTTGAAAGTGAGGAAATTGCATGTTGCTCTATATAGCAATGGTAGTAACATTGGCAACGAGCATTCAAGGTGCCGCAACTATGGAGGTGTAAGACCAGTTTCGTAATTTAAAATTCTTAGACGCCTCTCTGACTAGGGCCTGCTCCGCCTTCGTCTGTAGGTTTCTTTTCTTTTCCTTTTTCGCCCTCTTCTCCATCTGATTTCGAATGTTCGCTTTCGGTAGTACCTTCCTTGGCGCGCGCGGTTTCAGTGCCTAGTATAGTCCCATCATATTAGTGTATGCAGCATCAAATACTAGACATCTTCAGCATACCAGGAGGGGTCCAGCCCGCCAGTTCTTGAAGTTCTTGCGCTGTGTCGGCGTGTCGACTTATGGAAAACTCAACTATTGCCTTTCTGCAAGCGAAGTCAGCAATCGTGCCTGACACGTATGGGTCAGAAATCTTATCATCTCTGTAGAACTCACCGAGTCCGGTTAGAAAACCACCACCATATCAGATACCAAGGAGGACCGCAGTAAAACACGTAGCGACGACATAACTAACCATGGCGGTCCACCATGGCCCTGGAATAGATGGGCTAACGCTATTGGGAGTGGCAGGCATGGTTTTATTTTTCCGCGTTTATGGAGAGTATGCAGAGTTTTGTAGCAATAGACAATTATGTGGTAAACAGAGTGCTCAAGAATTGGAGTGACGATGGTAAAAGAGTGTTCAACGTTCGCAGTGATGGTTGTTCGTTGTTCTTGGACCAGCTAATCGAAGATATCATGTTAGAGTGATCTCTGGGTTGGCAGGAACACACAAGGGAAGGAGCGATAGTTTCGGCCTGTACGTCATAATATGGACGGGCTAGTGAGCTACAGATGAGACGAGCGATACATGATCCTGATTAGTGTAATTATGACCTATATACACACACATTCGTCTCTCTGAAATCTATCTCACGTATTCTCTTTCTAGAATTCTCAGTCATATCGCTACCCTTCCTTCCCCGGAACTCGACTACTACGTCTAAATATGAAGCTCAGCAAGTCTCTACCGGAGTCCATGCGACACACGCTGGTCAAAGCCAGCAGTGCTATCTTCGAGCCCGTGGAGACAATCCTCGAGAAATCAGGGAAAACACAAAAGGCCCAGAAATTGCGCAAACTACAGCACCAATGTATTGGTCTTTCTGAGGACCAGTGGCAATATATCAATGATTACTTCGTGACTGAAGAACTGCTACATTTAGTATTACAAGCAAGGGAAAAAGAATTGCAGAATAATAAGAAAACAAAGAGCGAACAACCTGCAAGTGACGACCTCAACGAGTTCAACAGCTACAAAGAAAAACTGAGGAAATCTGAGCGGAAACTGGAAGCACTCAACAACGATGTACGCTCCACCGAAGGGGTCATGAAGCTCCTAGAATGGAAAATGGGACACACTCCACTGTACCGCGCTATGAGTTTCCAGCGATGCGATTCAAAATGGTATCTCAGGGACACATGGCTTCGGGAAAAGTGTGCTAAGAATGGGGGGTGTTGTGGCCGGTCTTGTGGTTGCTGTGAGAAGCCACGATGCACGAGGAGCGACCGAGAAGTCCTTGGCCACTGTACACCGATGTGTATATGCTGTCGAAGCTATAGGGGTAGGACCATTACAATTCACACTGATGATTTTGTGACTCTGGGCCAAGTTGATTTGATCCCGAGGGAGGCGAAAAGGTACGCGCATTCGAAGGCTGTCTATGAGGGGCGGATCGAATTCGATCCAAGGAAGGAAAGAACGGATAAGATTAGTGCACGTCTTATGAATGCCTATGTTTGGGGGCTGGATGGGAGAAGAGGATGAAAGGCCTCAAGCTGGCTGGCCAAGTGTATGGGAGCTCGGTTTACTGGAATTCTGTCATCAATTCATGGATTTAAAGACCGAGAGGAGAGGGATACTGCCTGGAAGGCACATGGCGGAATGTGGTTTTCTCTTTTTCTTCTTCTTTTGTCTTGTCGCTATTTGTCACTAATATTGTCAAGTTCTCTGTTATGCATTCCCAAAATGAATCATAATTTAGGCCTTGTCTGTGCTGGCGTCTCTCACGGCTAAACGAGGTTAACCATAGTGTTCAGTGTGCTGTTGTCTCCATGCATATTGAATTCCGTCTAGAGAAGACACGCAGGGAAGACGAGAAGACGCATGACAGGAAGCGTGGGGCGTTTGCCTTAAACAGGAGTGAAGAGCCGTTTCCAAACGAAAAGCATTGAGAGCGAAGAGAAAGAAGAGCTCTAAAACGTCAATTCAGCAGGTGTTGGTTGATGCTAGCAACGATTCAAGTATGTAGAGGAAACAGAGGAACAAGGTGTAGGAGACGCGTTCTACTTCCTATTCGGGAAGGTGCGGGCTTTGTCCGTAGCAGGAGATATAGGCTGATCGATGTAGTCTCTAGAAGATATATGCAATCACACGGCTCGAAGCTTGGGAATCAATAGTCAAGAGCTCCATGGAAATAACATACTCAGGTGAGACGAATTAGAGAAGTCGGACCGACCACACACGCGCTTGACGGGAAACCCAAATGAGTGCTCCTTTAGCTGAGCAGCATATAATAGTGCATCATGTTTTCCGTCTCTTTTATCGAGTCATTGGCTTGTACTACAGGGATTAAGTTACTATCATATTTTGATATAGTATGCTATTGCTTTGTGATGGGGAGATGATCTGCGGAAATATATAAAAGCGGGAGACGGGTAGCCATTACACCGAACCCTACGTTCAATATCGTAGAGGGTTAATAGAACGGAATACGAGTCCAGCTGAAAACGCTGATTTTGGTTAACTTATATAAGCCATAAATAGCTTACTACAGACTACTAGAGGAACCTTGACGTCAAATGTTACAATTTCTAAGTAGAACCCAACAGATGAAATAGGACCGAGATCTTTTGATACACAGAGAAACGAGAACTCAATTATGGACTCATGAAGGAAAGGCGCTATGTATCATTAAAGGGCGGTGCAGGAATCAAGGACGAAAAAGTAGACGGAATATCACAAACAAAGAGAAATGACAACGCTTGCATAACGAGCAGTGCTGAATGCTGAAAGTCTCAATTCAAATGGTAGAACAAAAGGAAGATGCAGCAGGAAGGCTAGACTCCAACACCGTACAAGAAGCAAAGATCAAACATAGAAAAAAGAAGACAACTCACAAAGAAGGGAGGTACTAAAATAAAAGCAAGTCACAAGAAGGTGAAACGGAGAACATAGTGGAACACAAAAAGCAACTCAACTCTAGAACATCTCTAGAACATCAGGGACCGCGTCTTCTGCCGGCGAGCATCCAGACCGCGAACTTCTGGCTGTGACTGAGTGTGCTTGTGGCCAGGACGACCCACGGGTGGCGCCCGCGCCGATGGGGTCGTTGGAACAGGGATGGCACTGTCTTTGGCGGGTGGCGGAGGAGCTGCGGTGCTGGGCCGCTTCACCTTCATGCTTCGCTCCCGCTTGAGAACCATCTCCGTCCACGCCTTGACTTGGCTGCTGCCAGAAGATCCCTTGCCGACGGCGTCCGCCAGCACCTTCATCCATCCATCTTTGTCGGCCGCGCTGTCGGCGTAGAAATCAATCACTTCGCCGTTGCCAAAGCGGATGCGGAATCCCTCTTCAACAAACATGTAGCCCTCCTCTTCTTCGGCAAAGGCTGACTTGCGACGGCCACCGCCTCGCGTTGTAGTCTCCTTCTGAGTCAAAGAAGACCGGTCATCAATGAGTTTGACTGCCTTAGAAAGGTTGATGGTTGCGCGAGGTTGGCGGGTGGTTTCGTGGTAGGCGGTCAGCTTGGACCCTTGGAGCTTGAAGAAGCGACGACGCCAGAACTATGAAATTGAATTAGCGTTGATCGACAAAAATTCAGGCTTGCATGTACTTACTGGACAATCACCACCCTGCTGAGAAAGGAACCCTTCCCAACTGCGGGAGGATACACTTTCGGCTTCACGCATCTCCCGGATGCATGCGTTCATGCTCTTGGGCATGTCGTCGTCCTTGGCGCCCTTGGGCTTCGGGACAAATAAAAGCTGCAGCTCAAGCTTGCCAATCTTGTAGGGGGGACGTCTCTGGGAAGTAGTACTATTGGTACTCTTCTTGCTCTTTACACTGCTGGGCTGCTCTTCAACAGCCCACTCGTTGAAGCATGCCACGTCCACTGTGTAAGGCCGGCCAAAGGCGTGCTTTTCGTGGTCACTGAGGGACACGTAGGCGCGTGCGAAACTTCCATCGCGAGCAATGAGCGTTCTCAGCCTGTCCCATACGGGAGCGTTGACGTCGCGAGTCTTGCTTTGTTGCGACGCCAGCTGTTGCTTCATATCAAGCTCCTTGCGCTTGCGGGGTGAAGCAAAGACCCGACTGAAGGTGGAGGCTTTCTGCTTTGTGGGTGAAACTGGGGGAGCAGGCTCTGGAACACGCATCTTCTCCTCGTCCACCTTCATCTGGAGGGTCAGTTGGAATTCGAGATCATTCTGCACGATGAGCTCAAACTCCTGACCGATGGGAGCGGTCTTGCCCAGTTCCAGCCAGGCAGTGGTAACACAATGAAGGCCATTGTCAAGGGTTAAAGCAAAGTACGATCTCTCACCTGAGGTGACTGTCAGCTGACGGTTCGCAATATAGTTGAGCAAAAGTCATGCACTTACCTCGTGGCAGCGGCAGATCGAGATATTTCATTCCGACTACCTTGACGAAGAGACGACCACGTTCTTCGCCCTCCTCCAGAGCACCATTCAACGCAGGTTCGGTCTCCTCGATGGTCGCCGGGGGCTCCTGAACGCTGCTTTGCTGGCCTGGAAGTGGTGGGACGGGTCCGCTGACGGGCTTCTTCCGGACCATGCCGCTGGAAGTCCTCATACTCGCTCGGCGAGTCTGTCCGTTCCACGGCACCGTAGTCCACGTTTGCTGACTAGGCTTGCGCGCCGTTGGTGCGGCCCGGGCCGCTGCAGGAGCGTCACCTCCAGCTGCCGCTTCATCCTCATTGCGGCTACTGGCGATGATAACCTTCGTGTTATGTCGCATAAGGTAACCTCTCTGTTTTAAGACATGGTGGTCAGTTGATGGTCTCAGTTTCAAGCTATGGGCTTCTGATCCTTGGTGTGGGCCGTCATGGAGACGAGGGATAAACGCGGTGCTTCTGAGTAGGGACAGGGATTGTTCAAACTCCACCTTTTGCGACTCGATCACTCGATCGAACTCCTTATCCAAGCCGAATCCGAGGCTCTCCTCTTCCTGGATGCTGAATGGGATATCCAGTTTCATGAGACTGGGTTGTCTCCGACTCGGTTCCTTGGCGGCCTCTGTTTGTGTATCCTCCTCGTGTTCCTCCTCCGGTGCAGAGGCCTGCGAGTCGTTCGAGTTCTGCTTGGTAAGCTGGGGCATGGGCGGAGGTGGCTGTCCGCTAACCTTGCGGCGCGTCGCAGCCATCTGCTCAACGTCCGCAGGGGTGAGGGATGGACGGGTCTTTAGACCAGTTCCAGGGGCCTTGATGGTGGCAACTGGGTCTGGCACACTTTCATCAGCGGATACCTCCTCGTCGCTGAACTCTTCATCAATAGGGTGTCGTATAACGGACTCAGGGGTCGAAGGTTCTGAGATTTGATCCTGGTTATCCGGTGTCGAGGGCCGCTGCAGCGCTTCCCTCATGGCTGCCATCTTTGGAGCCGACAGTTCTTTTGGTTGGGGTTCTGGCTCTGGTTCTCCTTGCGATTGCTCGGCAGCAGGCTCCTCGCGTACTTCAGGAACAGGTGTGGATTGTCTGTCTTCGGACTCTTGTGACTCGCTCTGCGGCGCCCTGACTTCGTCCTCTTGAGGCAAGCTGGGCTGATCGCCCTCCTCGTTGGAAGGCAAATGGTCTTTCAGGCTTTTTGAGGAAGAAGCTTGAGACTGAACAGTTTCATAATACTCCGGAATGTCATAAAGATCGTCATCGTGCTCTTCGGGCTTTATCACCACGCTGCTCTGGTCATCATCGTCGTCATCGTGGTATTCGTCATCATCGTCCTCCAGGGATGGGATGGGGACGTCAGGGTCATAATGCATATAGTGGTGGGGGCTTGATTCGATCTGCGAATCCTCCTCGAAGGAGTCGTCGACATAGCTCTCACTCTTACGAATGTCTCGCAGAATGGAATCCCGGGAGATGCGCGGAGGAGAGAATACCTCCGTAGCCTCTTCATCGTGATCTTTGGCAGCCTCCCCTGAGTTTGAAATCTTGTCATCGTCCTCGAAGTCGCTAATCAGGTCGTGTTCAGCCTCTGTGTCTGGCTTGGGCGCCTGGTGATCCGCTTGGTCTGAGTCTTTGCTCTTCCGTTCGTTTTCCTGGATCATCATGAGACGTAGCCTATCTTCCAGAGACATCGATGCACGAGCACGTTCAGTGATATCCGACTTGCTGTACGTGGCGGGGCCCGGAGGAGACGGCAACACTCGCTGACCTCCACTTGCCAGCTCAAAGGCTGCAGACAGCTTTTGTGGAGACGAGCCGCGCTGGCTAAAGGACGGGCGATTGGTTGGAGGAAGCGGGGGCAAGGGACGGCGTTCGCCATTGGAGTCCAGCGACTCGACGCGAGCATGTTGGACAGGCGGGCCTTGCTGGGTGGATGGCCGCGGGTCGGGGCTGTGGTTTTCGTCGTCTTCCGTAAAGGGATCTTCTTCGTCTTTCACCAGATCGTCGTTTGCGCTGGCGGGACTCATGTATCGCCAGTCTTCCGGCAGGACAACCGGGGTCTTCTCGAGGTCTTCCAAGGAGGCATCGAAACTGTCATCACGGTCGAGGGAGGATTCGCGATCGAAACTGATATCCCCTTCATCCTCTTCTGAATCATAGCTGCCTTCACGGGAGCCAGAAGCGATGGAGGACGGATCAGGAGTGGTCATTTCGTACTCGTGCACCTGGGGCTGAGCGGCATCGAACGTCACGCTTTTGGCATGTCGACTTCCATCAATGTCAGACCAAATCTCACTTTCGGGGTCAAATGCGTCTCTGAACCCGAAGCGACTGGCTCGCGACAGGGAAGACTTCGCTGGGGGGACTTGGTCCTTGCTCGGAGAAGGGGGGCGGGGCCCGCTCGGGTTGTTACTGTCGTGGGACTCTGCCTGTCGCGCAGGGGGCGCATTTGAGGCCTGCTTCTGTGGCGAGCGACTAGTGGCCAAGGGCCTCTGTGGAACATAGACATTGGTCGGATCGTACTCCTGGTTGTAGTCGCGGAACATGTTGCTGTTCTTGACCCTCGAGGCGCGCTTGAGATTCTCAAGGGAGGGACGCTTGGATGGAGAAAACGAGGCGTCGGGGTCATAAGGGCTCTGGTTCTCCGAACTCTTGGGGAAGGGAGAGCCCGACTCACGGCCCTGCCAGAAAAGACGCGGTGATGCGGGTGCTTCATACGCTGATGCTTCTTGGGACTTCATCTGGAGCGACATGGTCAGGTCCAGATGTCGGAGGATTAACAACAGCACGTGGAGCGACCTACTTTGGTACTCTGATTCCAACTTGGGGAGTTTCGTCGTTGAGCCATCGGGCTTACTTCGGACAGCGGCCTTTGCGTGGTACTGCTGCCCATCTTGGTGGGAAATGCACGACAACAACTGATGATTCAAAAGAGGCAAAAATAGCCAGTCGACAAGCGCGCCTGGAAGAAAACACAGCTGCAGGCAGCTGAATCAGCAATGGCTTCTTTCGTCACAACGCAGCAATGCAAGGTCTCTGCAATCATAGCTATCCCTTGCTGGACTGGAACGCGCCCATACCTGGTTGAGACGAATGGAGGCGAAAAAGGTGGATGAGTCAATCGCAACGAGGTCGTTAGAAATAGTCCGAAACGAACCAGCGCAAATGAAGAACAGAACGCGGACAATAATTGAGTCGCTTGGATTAAAATTCACTCGGACGTTAAGCAGCAGCTCATGGGAATCGTAACAAGATGGGGAAAATGAGATGCGTCACAAAATGGCGATCATGCGAAAGAGAGCCGATTCGTCAGGTTCTTTCTTTACTTTTGATAAGAAACTACTGCGAAAAAAAATTGGTCCGACAAACGAAGGGATGCTGATCGTAGGCAGAACAGGGCAACCGATATGGTGGAAATGGGCGATGTGCAACAATGACGGCACGCTGGGCAGGATAGACAATTGCAAAGGAAGAAGACAACCAACACACCATCCACCACCGGACCAACGAGGATGAAGTAAGAACAAGAAGACGGAAGAGGGTGAGAGTGAAGGTGACGGGAGAAGGAATAAACAGAAACACCCGAACAAACAGTGTTGACAAGTTGACTAATAAGTAGTTCGAAGCCGTTCGCAAACCGGCTGAAGCTGGGAATCGCAGCTTGACGCTGTTGACATTTTGGCGTCGGGAGTCTCCATGGCAACTTCACACCTGAGACTGCCTGAACCTGGCCTGAACTTGGCCTGAGCGCCCTGTCTGGCCAGCCTCGACACCTCGACACCTCGTCGCCTGGCGGTTTCCCCGATCCCACCAGTCTGGTTTGGGATTAGCGGGGGATCGTTCCTGTGGCCCGAGCGCCTTCCCCTTACGGACTGGCACGGGACCGGCTGCTGATTCTTTTTGGATTGGAGCTCCGGGAGGCAAAAGATAAAACTAGTGGTAGAAGATTCTTGACGAGCGTTCATCACTCTCTCTCATCCACCCCCACCCATCCTCACCATGAATCGCCTGGGCAGACTGTCTCTGCCGCTTCGGCCTCAAGTCTGTCTGCTCTGTCAAACGCAGGCGACCATGTCCTCTCCTCTCGCCGGATGGCAGGCCGTCCGCTCCATGGCAACCGTCCGACAGCGCCGCCAGGCCGCCCGCATGGTTCTGTCCTCCAATGTCGACAAGTCTTCCCTGAAGGAGGGACGTTCGAGAAGAGATCGTGGCGGCCCCTGGTCGGGCATGAACCAAACAGAAGCGCGCCTTCGGGATGCGCCACGGTCAAGGTCTCGGGCAGCTCTCAAGCGCTCCGGGGATGCTGAAGATGATAAGCAGAAGCCGGACAGTCCTCTCTATAAGGCGCTCAAGATGCAAACGGCATTGGCGCCCATCCCTTACGGTCGCCGAACCGCTATCAAGAATAAGATCGCAGAAGTCTCGAGTTTCGACCAATTTCCTCTGCTACCGGTCGTGCGCCACTCGATCTCTTCCCAGGCTCTCCCCGGATTGGCGGACATCGTACCAACTCCCATTCAACGCCTTGCTATCCCACAACTTCTGAAAGACCCTATCCCGAAGAGAACATCGAAAGATGTTTTTAACGATGAACCGAATTATGAACAATATCTTCTGGCTGCCGAGACCGGGTCTGGAAAGACGCTCGCCTATCTGATTCCCATGATCGACTCCCTGAAGCGTATGGAAGCGGAGGACAAGGATTTTGAAAAGCGAGAGGCGGAACAAAAGGCCAAGGAACGGGAGGAGAAGCTCAAGAACCGGGCTTTTGACATTGCCCCGGAAGAGCCTCCGCTGTCGGACGCAGGTAGACCCCGGGTCATTATCCTCGTCCCGACCTCCGAGCTGGTTGCCCAGGTTGGCGCCAAAGTCAAGGCTCTTTCGCACACGGTCAAATACCGATCGGGGATGATCTCGTCTAACCTGACCCCTCGCCGTATTAAGAGCATCCTCTTCAATCCGAGCGGAATTGACGTTCTCGTCGCCACTCCCCATCTGCTTGCTTCGATTGCCAAGACGGATCCATATGTGCTGAGTCGTGTTAGCCACCTGGTGCTGGATGAGGCAGATTCGCTCATGGACCGTTCCTTCTTGCCCACAACGACCGAGATTATCGAAAAGTCAGCCTCTTCTCTTCACAAGCTCATCCTCTGCTCCGCAACCATTCCCCGCAGTCTCGACAATCTTCTCCGTAAGCGCTACCCCGACATTCGCCGACTGACGACACCAAACCTGCATGCCATCCCCCGTCGTGTCCAGCTGGGAGTGGTTGACATCCAACGGGACCCCTACCGTGGCAACCGCAACCTGGCCTGCGCCGACGTGATCTGGTCCATTGGAAAGGCAGGCGACACCGAACCGACGCACCCCTTCCTGGCCCAGGCCGGACCCAAGGTCAAGAAGATTCTGGTTTTTGTCAACGAGCGCGAAGAAGCCGACGAGGTAGCCGAGTTCCTGCGCTCAAAGGGTATCGACGCCCAGTCCTTCTCCCGCGACTCCAGCAGCCGTAAGCAGGAGGAACTGCTGGAAGAGTTCACCGAGTCCCCAATCCCTCCCACCGCAGAGGAGATCATGCTAGCCAAGAACAAGCGCCGCCAGGACAACTCCATTCCCTTTGTCTACCCTGAACAGCAGAACAAGCCTGGCATGGAGCGCGGTCTGCCGAACACCAAGGTTCTCGTGACGACAGATATTGCCTCTCGCGGAATTGACACCATCGCCGTGAAGACGGTTATCCTCTACCACGTCCCGCACAACACCATCGATTTCATCCACCGTCTCGGCCGTCTCGGCCGCATGGGCAAGCGTGGTCGTGCCGTGGTCCTGGTCGGCAAGAAGGACCGCAAGGACGTGGTCAAGGAAGTGCGCGAGGGGATGTTCCGCGGCCAGGCCTTGATTTAGGGGCAGCAACGACACCAACGACAAGCACAATCTGTACTATTATTCAACTACGGCCCAGTCAACTTACAACTGACGGAGCCTCTGACGACGGCGTTCGGAAAACGGCAACCAGGAAAGACAATATTTAGACGACATGCATTGTATGTATGCATTGACTTGAAGCATCACTCAGGATATACACGGCTGTACCTCATGTATTATAATTTGTATATTTCCCCACCACATCTCTCTACTTAGATTCCTCTTCGTCACCACACCTGTACATTATAAACAACACCCATCCATCATCTGAATAGACAACTACAAGATACTACTTACTACCAGTAGTAAATAAAAATGAAATAAAAAAATCAAATAGGAATCTTCCCCCCAACCGACTTCCAAAACGCACACCGATCCTTCAACTCCGTCAACCCCACATTCTCGAACCCCTCCGTAGCAATCACAAACTCGTCCCCTGACTCCTGTACCTCCGGCACCCCAGGCTCCGACGCATTCGTCAATTTATGTGCGTTGGGGTCCCCCGTCTGGAAAAAGCTGGCGAATGCGCCCGCGTAGCCGTCGTAGATTAATGGGTCAGTTTGTTGTACGCTCGAAACGGTGTCCCACTATTCACAGCCACAGTATTGGTATCGGTATCATCTCCATAGACAGCATATACATAAAACAGAACGAAACATAAAAGGGATGATAACAACATACCCACTCCGTATCACTCCCATGTCTCGCCGGCGGAATCACATACTCCCCGACATACCCCTTCTCCTTCGCCGCAGAAGCAACCCAATACGCCGGACAGGCGAGGACCACGTCTCTGTACACTAGCCCTGCGCGTACGAACGTCGTGTTATAGGATAATGTCTCCGCTGTACCTGAAACAGGGTAATATTTCGATTCGATGAGGTTGATATCGTTTGTATCAAGACCGGGAAGGAAACCGGTTAACCAGTTATGGAAGGACGCGAGGGAGGAGTTGAATCCGTTTGTAGTGTCTGTGTCTTCTAGTCCGGGGGGAATGAAGTTCTCGCCTTCGTGGGCGTTGTACATGCCCCAGATGAGGTCTGTCTTTAGGGAGTTGGAGGAGATAGTGGAAGAAGTGAGGGGTTCGATGAGGAAGGTTCCGTCGATGACGGGGGCCCAGGTGTAGGATGAGGTGGTGTAAGTGTTGTCTGCGTCGATGATGAGGCTTGCGTCGCGGATGGACTGGACGTCTACCTCTTTCAGGCATTTGAGGGTGTCGGAGGCGGTGGTGCAGTTCGTTAGGTTGACGAGCTGGGTGTAGATGGCTTCTGCTTCTGGGGCGTTGTAGGCGTAGGTTTTTGGCCAGAAGGGGGAACTGGCGAGGGCTTTGGAGAAGAGTTTGGGGTTCGAGCCGCGGCCGTTGGCGAGGATTTGGGCGACGACGGAGCCTCCGCCGGCGGATTGGCCCCAGATGGAGACGTTGTTGGGGTTGCCGCCGAAGTGGTGGATGTGGGAGTTGACCCATTTCAGGGCGTATTGTTGGTCGAGAAGGCCTGGGTTGAGGTCGGAGGTGGGCGAGTCTTTGATGGCTTGGCCGGGGAGGAAGCCGAAGGCGTTGACGCGGTAGTTGGTGTAGACGACGATGTAGTCGTTTAGGGTGCTGACGTTGAGGACGGGGTAGGCGTTGGGGGGCATGCCGAAGAGGGCGTCGCCTTCGATGAAGCCGCCGCCGTAGAAGACGACGAGGACGGGGCGGTTGGTGGTGGAGGAGCTGGTGTCCCAGGGTCGGGAGTAGAGGCCTAGGTAGAGGCAGTCTTCGGAGCCGTTGACGGTGCGTTGAGGGCACATGTCGAAGGATTGGTCGGTGTCGTAGGTGCCATTGGTAGTGATGTTTAGCGGGGGTTGAGGAGCTCGAAAGCGGTTCTCGCCTGTGGCGGGTGCTGCAAAGGGGATTTTGCGAAAGTAGGAGAGGTTGTAGGTGGCATCATAGCTGCCCTGGAAGGTGCCATAGTCTAGAGTGACGAGGGGGGCGTCGTAGGCGCTGGTGAGGGAGTGTGTTAGCAGGAAGCACAGGGCTAGCAGGAGGCGTGGGAAGGCCATGGCTGTAGGTGGTGGTAGTATCCCTGGTGGTCCTGGCAGGGAAGAGCTGCGCCGAGAGCTGCAGCGTTTTATAGGACATCATGGTTGCGATGGTAGAGTGAGGTCGGTATGAAGCAGACCGAAGTTCATTAAGATTCAATATCGGAGTTCCTGGAATACCTGCACGAGAATATCATGAGGACAAGAAATCCAAGGGGATCAAAGCGCCGACAGGGCTGCCATTGGTGCAATTATTCTCCTCCACAATGCAGCATGACGGAGATGCGGAGATGCGGCACCAGCAATTTGCGGGGGGAAGGATGAGGAGGAAAAGATTCTTCAAGCAATGTCCGTCAGCCGACGGGTAAAAATAAGTTAATTCCAAGACCCCGGGTTGGGGATAAAGTCGTGTAAGTACAGAAGTGTACCAAGGGCCGGGAAACGAGCAGTAATCTATACAGGGTAACCAAATGCGGAATCATTAGACTGGACAAAGCCAAAGCCAGACCAGATGAATGGGAAGCAAGATCTTTCAAACGTCTCAAAAAGCCTTTCAATATCGCCGGGCTCATGGCAACGCTCGTGCCCACTGTGATAAAAACGCCTATTCTTCCAAACCGGACTCCACCGGACTCCAAAGAAAAACCAAACTCCAGGATTAGTACTCCCAAAATCGATCCATATCCATCATTACATAGTCATCCGAAGGGACCGGGTACGTCGTCGGCTGGCGCGCGTGTTGCGTCGGTCCTCGCCGGCTTCACTGTCCTCGGTCTCTGCGTGAGGCTCGGACAGTTCGGGCGTCGGGGTTATTCCAAAACTGACACCGCGGTCCTTGCGCGAAATGAGCGCTTCTTCCTCGGGGTACAAGAATCGGTGCACAGTGCGGTGGTCCATCACACGTTCCTCGTCATCCCCAGGGCCCTCTCTGTCGGTCTTTGGCCACTGGAATCCATACAGCTTGGAGTGCCGTTCGCACCGGGGACACTCACGTCGCGTCAGGTAGGAATCTTGCTGAACAAACCAAGCGTTGCATGTGCGGCAATCCACCCAGCGGTCGTATGCCTGTGCTAGAAGTTTAGAGGTTTTGGTGTAATCGCCAGGAACCCGAGCACGGGGCGGCTCAACCTCGACTGAGGGAACCACTTCCTTGCTGCGGGATTTTCGGGACTTTTTCACCACGGTACCGAGCTTCTCGTCGAGTTCGAGAGAGTCTGACAAGTCCGACAATGCATCGTTGTCTACACCCAGCATACGTCGTTCTGGCTCAGTGGAGAGATCAAGGCGTCCCTCGACAGTCAAAATTGGTGCCTGCACGGTAGTCTCGGTGATTTCCTCGACCTTGATTCGCACCGGGTTATCACAAACGGACGTCGCGGCTGTTGAAGTTGACGAGCGGTGCGAATCGTCCAGTGAACCGGGTGAATCAGGATCGGCGGTGGTAGTGGTGGTGCTTTGCGCGGTCGATTCGGCATGGATGTCACTCTTGTTGTCGATGACGTGGTCATTGGCGGTTTCGGCTGCGGCAGAGTGTGGCACGGATAAAACTTGGGAGGAAAGCCCGGTGCCCGCTGGCTGGACCGTGGAAGACTCGATCGAGGGTGTGAGATCAGAAAACACGACCTCAGATCTCAACTTGGAGCTCTGGCGAGTAAACTTGGTTCGTTTGCGGGGAGTCGATGAGGGAGAGCTCTCTGAATCGGTGTCGGGGACGTGCTTGCGTTTCTTGGGCGAAAGGAGAGCCTCAGAGGGCGCAGGCTCGTCGTAAGCTGGCGTGGAGGCGGGACTCTCTTGGTCGGAATCGAGCTGGGGTGCCCAACCATTGCGGACGGCCCGTTCGCATGTCAAACAAAGACACTCGCAATTGTCAATGCCAAAGTAATCCTCTCCGTAAGACACGGTGATTTCCTCTCCGATATGAATGTTGCGGATGGCAACGACTTGCATGCCTTCCATGCCGCGCGTCACCAGTCGACCGTTGGCGTTGCAATCGTGATTGGCGAACCGAGCGGGACCCAGGAAGAAAGAGGGGGTTTTTCTGCGACTCGACATGACAATGCTAAAATCCTTTCTCTTCAGATCCAGATCCTGCTCCTCTTCCTTGGTCATGGGTACGAGGGTCCCGCTGAGGTACTTGATCTCCTGGCCCTGCTTAATGAATTTGCGGGCGCAGATGGCAGCCTCATGCTCGGTCACCGTGTAGCGATTGGTCGTAGTCACCTCAAAGGGGGAATCGGGGAGATACATCTGGATGTATTTGCGGAGATGGCGGCGAAACCATTCTTTCTCCCGGTCAGTAGGCAGCTTAGCCAGGTACTTCTTGAGACCTGGCATGCTCAACAGCTTCTCTTCCGCTTTGGCAGCGTCTTTGTTGACAATGACATCGTGAAGGAGAGTGCTAGCCACATCATCATCTCTGATGCCGCGGGCGGGGTTGTATTTAGTGCGATTCTTGCGAGTGTTGGTCCAGAAGTACGCCTGCGAGGATAGTACAGTCAGCGACCAGCTACATGACGGCCAATCGAGGGTCATAAACGTACACGGTCAACCAGCGCATCTGTTGCGACGTCGTCGTAGCTGGCCAGTTTCGCGAGCGTAAGCCGATCCCGACGGTCATCGGAGGGGCTGGATTTTGCCTTGGAGACCGGCATCGTGAAATGTCGACCCAGACGATCCCATGCAAGAGGATTTGAGGGGGTGATAAGAGTGTGGGTGGGATTAATGGTAGGAATGAGGCGTCAAAGCGTCAAGGGGAAGAAACAGCGGAAGGTCGGGAAGCAGAGAAGACGAGACTACTAAGTAGAAATATATATGGGCGCCAAACAATTTTGGGGGGTGGGAAAGGAAAGGAGCGGGATTGAGAAGGAAAATTTTAGGGAACGACGTGAATACGAAGAGGAGTGACTGGCATGATGAACAAAGGAAACGAAGGAGAGGCAGTGAAAGTTAGCGCGCATGAAAGGACAAACTCGCAGATTGACATGATAGTAATAATTAATGTGAAGGCTGGCGCTGGTTGCTGCTGCAGTGTCCCCGTCCGGGGTCGGTCGTCGGCGAAACCTGCCGGCCCGCCAAACTGCCTGGCGCTGCTTTTCTTTCGGCCATCCCCATCTCTCTCTATACTCCCCTCACTCCCCCCGACGTTCTTTCCACCTCCGGACAGGGTACACAGTCAAGATGATTCAATTAAAGGTGTGTGAGGGATTCTACGGGTGTTCGTGATGGGGGAGAGGAAATTTTTCGCGGACTGACAAACCCCCGATCCAGACAATGCTCAACTGCATCGACAACTCCGGCGCCGCCGTTGTCGAGTGCGTGAATGTCCTGAAAAAGAAGCGCCCCGCCACCGTTGGTACGATCATTTTACCGTTTCCAATTCATTATCAAAGGGTTTCCGCTGATGTTGGAGTTCCGGGATGAACAGGTGACCGCATTGTGGTCGTGGTCCAGAAGCAACGAAATTTCGGCCCCGACAGCAGCAACAACGTCGGTATCGCAAACAAGGTTCGCCGAGGAGATATTCGCCATGCTGTCGTTGTCCGCGCGGCCAAGGAAATGCAGCGCCCGGATGGTTCGATCGTCAAGTTCGATGACAATGCCTGTGTTCTCGTCAACAAGTCCGGAGACCCCATCGGAACAAGAATGAACGGTCAGTCTAGCCGACCACTGCGGAACATGATCGAGTCGGTATTAGGAGAATAGCTTTACTGACATATACTAGGTGTCGTGGCTACGGAACTACGAGGACGACAGTGGTCGAAGATCCTGTCGTTGGCGCCGATGCATGTGTAGGATATACCTTTTATTTGGAAGCGAATTGTTCTTATATTTATCCCGTTTGTAGCAATAGAAATTTCTTTCTCTTTTCAAACTCCCCTTTTCTTTGCCCAAACATCGCCAGAACTCCACAAAAAATGCTGCTTAACGGAACAAAAACCAAGATCGGGTATCAGGTACATGACATGTAGTATGGCAAATCGAGAATTAGACGAAAACATTGCCGCACGCGCAACAGACGTAGTAAAGTTTCTGGAAAGTAAGCGTCAGCCGATACCTTCATGGATGCGGTGTGAACCGGCATGAAGGCTTACCATTCCCGTTTCTGCGGAACGCTGTTGCGACTGGAAGAAGACTGCATCGGCTTCGCCGCAGCTCGGGCAGAGCTTGTTGGAACGAGGAAGCTAAGGAAAGAGTGGGTTAGCCACGGAAACTTCAAGACAACTTGGAATGTATCCATGACGCGAGCGCGGCGCATGCTGGACCTCATGACGACGAAAAGCCATCATAATCCTCTTCGGACCAGGAGTCCTCGGAGGATGTGTCACAGACGAAGCAGGTAATCTCTTCACCACAATGATCACAGAAACCCGGGAGACAAACCGTAGGATCAGATCCGACATCCTGGGTCACACCAGCGGTATCTCCGACTTGAGTGCTGAGCTTGTTTTGGTAGACGCAGTAGGAGGTTGCGGGCTCGCCGACATGGCAGGTTCGGCAGGTGAACATCAACCGGTTGTTGATGCGGTCTTCCTTCGGGTAGAGCAAGTTGGAACTGTAGACGTTAGCAGAAGGTTCGACAAGAATGAAGAGATCAAAACTTACCATTCGCGACAGAATCGAAAGTGAATTTGATCGGTGGGCTTGCTATCGCCACCGGCAGAGGGGGATGGGCTGGCAGACATTTTCGGGGTTTGTTTTACTGATGAAGTGTGCCGGAAAGTAATGAGTTCACGCGTATTGATATGGAGCGAGTGTGTTGTATCCGCTGGAAAGCTTTCACTTTAAACAGATAGAAACGAAAGACACGAAAAGTGGCTGATAGGAATAGTGAGACGGCCGGGGATCGTCAATGGAAGTCGGAAGAAGCGTTGAACCAAGCACCACCGGCTAGTTCCCATGACTTGCAGCTCACCGCCCCGTCAATGTTTGCAGTGTTTGCAGCCATCCCTCCCCCGCAGTTTGTCCCGCAGCTGCAAGTACCAGCAAAGCCTCTCCGACTCCTGCAACTTTATATAACTCCACTAGTCCCCCCGCGTCATTTCTGGATCCTTGTCTTCCTTCGTGAAGCTATAGACACCTCCGCAGATTTTAGACATACACACATCCTTTTTTCACAACATGGTATGCCGATACTCAATCCTATCATAGAAGATCATGTTTACCAAATTTGGCATCTGTGCTGACTGTAAACACTACAGGTAGAGACAGGTCTTCCGGCAGGTTGGGAGGTTCGCCACTCCAACTCTAAGAACCTTCCCTACTACTTCAACCCTATGACGAAAGAGTCTCGCTGGGAGCCGCCGGCCGACACAGATACAGAGAAGCTCAAGTTCTACATGGCCAACTACCACAGCGGACCCGCAGGACGCTCTGATGGAAACGGTCACAATGAGGGCAAGATTCGCTGCAGTCATCTTCTCGTTAAGCACAGGGACAGTAGGCGTCCCAGCAGCTGGAGGGAAGCTGAAATCACCCGTTCGAAAGAGGAGGCTATCGAGATCCTCAGAAGCCACGAGGCGCGCATCAATGCGGGAGAAGCCAGTCTGGGTGACATTGCTGTATCGGAGTCCGACTGCAGCAGTGCTAGGAAACGTGGAGATCTGTACGTATTTATGATATCACTAAAGGTACTAGACTAATTTATCTTAGGGGCTTCTTTGGACGGAATGAGATGCAGAAAGAGTTTGAGGACGCCGCCTTTGCACTCCAGCCTGGTCAGGTCAGTGGGATTGTGGAGACGGCCTCTGGTGTCCATTTGATTGAACGGTATGTGATCTGAGTGCATTCAGAGATTGCGTTGCTGATCAGCACTTGCTAACGTATTGGATATTGCAGGGTTCAGTAAATTTCTTTGAATGACATATATACTACGTGTATTTACTTGGAAGAGATCTCTATATCTTTTTACATGAGTTCTTCTTCACAACTTGTTATTCAATGTAGAACGTAGGCTTGGCCATTGTACTACGCAATGTATTATTGAGTATATCACGCGGCTGTTTTAGAGGACGGTTTCTGTATGGTGCATACTGTTGCTACTGACTTGGATGAAAGGAATGAAAGTGTGACTTACATATTAGAGGCGCCTTATATCAATGGCCCAAAGAACTTGATCTTCCATTCGGTTTGTTCAACCTGCAGTGTTTGCCCCCTGCTATTGAATGTGGTATCATAGTGATTTCGTGCTGACCTTCGTCCTATTGTATAGCGTACCGGCCGTGATCTATCTACAACTCTCCAAGTAGATCATGTTCTACATCTCAGTATCTGGCTTTCTAAACCAGCTTTATTCATCAGCAAACACAAGTCTAATAATCAACCAGATCAAGTCATCGACTCACTCTACGTCGTCAGCACAAGACCGGAGTGCAAGGTTGTTGTTCCCCCGGATCTTGTCCTACTTGTCTCTTGAGGTGACACCGATAGCTATTACTCCTGTTCGTCAGACCATCAGATCTGTCAAAGCTTCTCATCGATCACACTGGCTTGGGATATCATGATTTGCAGCTACGTTGCTTCCTCCTCTTCTTCTTCTACCTTTACTATCCCGACTATCAACCTGGTGCTAGCAAATATGGATCAAGATGAAGGAATGGAAAGCTGGAAGTCCATTCCAATCACATTTATGGTTTTCCATCCTTGTCCGACTAGCCTGCCCGACTAGGCAGATGGAGGCGGTAATGGGGGAGCTTCCGCGAGAGCTTCAGCTCTCTCCGTCTCTCTGCACAAGTGCAGTCCGGTCTTTTGCAGTCTCTCCATCTGAAGATCTCCCATCTTTCATCGCTTCACCTCACATTCCATCTCAGGTAGTACTCAATAAAATGTCCTCGTCAGCGCCTGAGTCTACGAAATTCCCTTTCTCACCGTCGCCTGGTTCCGTCGACGTCTACCTGGCTGAGGAGGGCATGCTGTCGGTCTCAGAACAATGCATCAACGACGTCCTGACTCAGTCTGGAATAAGAGCTGAATGCATCTATCTTCCACCACACCTTTCTAGAATTCTTCCCACGAAGTTAATCCACGTCGTATCACAATTACGCTTCGAGGCCTACAGAGCCATTATGATTATGCGGATCTGTAACTCCTGGTACCGAAGGAGGTACGAGTACCTGCACCCTGACGAAGACTCTCCAATGCTTCAACAGCATATTCAATCTGTCCAGCTCCTCTTTGGGTGGGACAAGGACAACAAGCCTGTCAGAGCCCAGCCTATTGCGGTGGCGGACCTTAAAATCCCTGAAGGTTCGATCACTCTGGGCTCGCACCGGCGCAGATACACAGCCTACAAGGAATTTTATGATGAGTTAGTGTGGAATTCTCGTTGTGGAGTCTACTACGCCAGATTTTTTGTCTACCTCTATCTGGCGACCAAAAGTTTCGATTCCCATTTACCGTCGGATGTCCTCCCGGCGTTCAATGCCTGGAAGCAGGGGGATTTTGATACGGAGATCCAAAAGTTAATTCCTTTGTCGCAGACTGTCTTCTATGCTCCATCGTACGAGGTCGCTGTGGATGAGCTGGCCACAGCCATCACGCAAAAAGTTGAAGGTGGCGAGGCAACTGCACGAACTTGGAAAGCCTTCGCAACAGGTCCGCAGAGCTATTAGCTCTTCCATCTTGAACGACCAGCTGCACGAAGTACGGTGTTAGACGAGATTCTGGAGTTCTTGGTTGTTCATATTTGGGGCTACGGATGTCATGACTGATGTGGGGATGAGAATATGCATAAACAGCTTGGGAAATTGCTTTGGTTGGATATTTCGGCTATTTCTTTATTCAAGTGTGGACATACCCATACATTGCTTTGGATCAAAAATATAAATTGCTTTGAAAATACATTCACTGTAGCGCTGTCTGGTTTTAGTCGGAAACACCCAGACACTTGCCCGTTATAATCTGACAGTTCCCATACCGACGCTGCCAAACGACACCACCTGCCGTTTATACCACGTCTCACAGCTTAGTAGAGAGACCAGAGTTTTTTCTTCGCTCTTTAACTTTCTTTGAATACAATACTTAAAGCACTGATCGTCTCCTTCTCAGATCATTCAGATTCATCCATGTGATTCGATTCACTACTACTGCTGATTCTTTCACGTGAGCATCAAACCCTACTAGGATTATCCTATCTTGAGAAGAGGTAAATACCATCAATCCACAATACCTTTAAGAATATCTATAACCTCATGTGCCTTGATTCTGTTCTCTATCATCATATTCTAAACACTATCGCCATGCATCATTCTCTCTCTATCTCACCCAACAGACAACACATCCACCTACTACCCGCACCACAGATATATATCCATCCCTCCTAGTGCCTCATCCAACCCACCCACACTCCAACACAAACAACCCAGCATACAGTTGCCTTGACAAACCATACTAACCACTCCCAAACCCAGAAACCCACCCTCAACCCCCCTCCCACTCAAACCAAAAAAATGTGCCTAACCTTAACAACCAAACACCCCCTCTGCGGCTGCCTCACCACCACAACATTCACGCCCTGCCGTCTCATCCCCTGGAACCGGTGTATCCGGCGCGAGATGATAATAGTCGAGGGAACGCGTCGACGGAATAATCTTCTCTGCGAAGCTTGCAGCGACAGCAGCAGCAGCAGATATTCCGAACGGAGAATGAACAGACTATACACTCTGATGGCATGTCTTGAGGGATTTGACTCGAGTGTTGAGTTTGCTTGTTTGGATGTAGATGATGAACAACATAGTCAGGATGACGGTGTTCAGGAGTTCCGGTTGGGAGAACATGATGGTTATAGTAATAGTGGCGATGGTGGTAGTGGTGGGAGTAGTGATGAGGGTTGGTATGGAGATGGAGATGGAGATGGAGATGGAGATGGAGATGGAGATGGAGATGGAGATGGAGATGGAGATGGAGATGGGGAGGGAGAGGGAGAAGAAGGGGATGAGGAAGAAGAATATATAGAAGAGTCCTCCTCCTCCTCAGAGGAAGAACTGGTGGTGCTTCGGTGTGACCTGAGTAGAGTTTGTGATTCGATTGCCTCGTCGCGCGTTTGTCATGGCACTGGGGTGATGGGGAGGGAGAAGAGACGGTTTGGGAGAGGGAGGGTACGGGGGCCTAAGAGGAGGGATACGGCTGATGAGGAGGATATGGAGATGGATATGGCGATGGCGAGGGCGAGGGTGGAGGATCAGAGGGTTTCTTCTATTTCTAAGGTCTCATCGATATGATGTGTGTCTAGGATGTGGGTAAAAATTGACCGTGATTGCATTCGTAGTATTTCTAGTCAAGTCCAAACAAGCTATTTCATGCATGCTTCTACTACTGTGGTATTCATTATAACGCTGTGTTGAGCCGTTCGAGACGCGATGTGATGTTGTCGATGATGGCCGATCTGGAGTATCTCGTTAGTATATGACCCCAAAGTCATGAAGAATGAAGCAGACGTACTCTCGTTCCACCATCAGCATAGCATCCGCAACCTTTTGCTTTTGTAGTCGTGCCGAAACCGAAACGCGAGGTTGAGCACCACCTGGCGACGCTGGACTGCCCGGTTCAGCGGCGATGGGCGACTTGACTGCGAGAGTCTTGGCCTCGCTGAGGAGATCGCCGGCAATCTCCTTCACCTATACAGTTGTTAGTATCATGATTAATAAACATACTGGGATGAACTTACAGCAGCGAGTCGTTGTGTCAGGTCGCCCTCGCCCTCTGGCTGATCCACTGACTCCGACAACGTCTCAACTTCATTAACCCACGACTTCTCCTTATCGCTGAGTGGCCGGCCACCGGATTTCAGGACCTTGTTACGCAGTGCTTCGTAGCGTTGTACAAGCTGTGCCTGCTTGTCCTTCGCTGCCTGCAGTCGCTGGTCCAGTGCTTCTCCGTTGCGGGACCCCTCCATCCGTTTGCCATCTTCGCCGATTTCGCTGGACACGCCCTTGACTCGGTCAGCCACGTCGGCAAGCTGTTTCAGCTGATCACGCATCTCGCCCTGCAAACGCTCGCAGCGGCGGAAGAGGTCTGATGCAGCGCGTTCGAGGGCGTTGGTGTGGGCGGACAGGATGCGGTGCGCAGCTGCAACCAGGTCCAGCGTAGCAGGGGACAGCCGAACTTGCTCCTTCAAGGCTTGGCGTTGACGGTGCGGGACGTGTTTGTCGATGAAGAACTCCAGAGGGGGCTCTGCGTAGAAGATGGCCGGGACTTGGTATGGAGGCCGACGAGGGGGCAGGATGGGGGAGCCCGGGACTTGTTCCTCCGGGTCGAAGATGTGGAGATCGGCAATGGAGGGAAGAACCTCTGGTGCGTCCAAGATGGCAGCGTGAGGGGTGGAGGAGTGGGATGTGAGTAGCAAGTAGCCCAGGTCGTAATCGTAGTACACCAAGGCGGCTGGTAGGTGGCCCGTCAAGTCTTTGGCGCCTGCGGCATTTCCATCAACCTCAAGAATCCGCTCTCTCAAAGACGCAGTGCCTTCGCAAAGGATCTGCAGGCGGAAAGAGCTGCCGGCGGTGTCCTCTGACTGCAGCTCAGCCTCGAGTCGCTGAACCCAGGAAGTGAGAGAGATATAGGTGACATTGTTGGTGTTCGTAACGAAGAAGCTGTACCGCGAGTAGGCATCCTTTGTGAAAGTAGGCCAGTTGTTGGACGAGTCACGCTCCCCTCTAATCGTGTCCAAGGATTCCACGAGCAAAAGATCGGATGGCTCGGAGACAGGCGTGCTGAAGACGTTCTTCTTTGCCTTAGGGAGCCACTGTCCTTCAACACCATCGAGCTCGAGACAGACATGAATCCTACCGCTTCCAGTCGAAAGGCAGATGACTGTGGCGGACAGACGGTCATCTCCGCTCTCCTCCAGAGCGCGCACCTCTTCGCCCATCATGAGCGCATCGAGATCGACCTTGGCACCGATGACCAGGATATCGCAGAGGTCCAGGTCATCAATCTCATCTCCCGTGTCGAACCGGAACGGGCCCTGTAATCTGGGGATCGCACTGGGATTGGCTGGGCGCGTGAGGACATCTGACCCAGAGCCCGTCTCCGAATCAAACTCCGTATGTAGAGGATCCTGGTTATCAATTTCGGCCAGCCAGTCGTACTGCTGCCGGCAGGCAGTCAGGTCATCCTCATACTCGGCAGGATCCTCCTCCAAAGAAGCCAGCTTCGGAACAATAGCCGCAGTCAACGAAGGGATGGTCGTTGACGGCGCGCGCCACTTGGAGGGCAACAACGGACACAAAGCGTAGAGGTCGCCCGGTCTCATTGCAACCCACAGAGTCATGGGTGCCCACGCGTCCTCGCGTTCATTTCCGCTGCCACCAAAGCAAGCAGACGCAACTTCCATGTCGATAAAGTCAGCCGAGAATCCCTTGTTCTTCCCGAATCCCGACGGCGCAAAGTCCTGGTCCGATGAGGTTCCGTCCACCAGCTTCCTCAGGTCGACAGCCAGGGTCGGACGGTCAAATGACCAGTGGTTGTTCCGATCCAATTCCCACACTCGGACTGCAGCATCAGCCGTGATAGTCACAAAACAGCCCCCGAGGTTGGTGTGGACACCCAATGGATGCCATAGCGCCGACACCACAGGCGATTCAGGAATGACGTGGGTGGTAGGGCCAAGCTGGTAAGATTTCACGCGGATGGGAGAGCTGTCTGTTCCAGACAGATGGGAAGGATCAGGCAGCACGGCGATGAAGACGGTGCGATCGGCAACAATGGCTAGGAATGCGCCATTTGGCGAGGGGATTAGTTGACGGATTTTCTCGAAGACAGGAACATTCAGAACCTATACGGCATCAGGTTAGCTTCAGACCAGCAATAAATCACTGTTAATCCTTGTCCTACCCTGTACTGCACAGTGCGATCCTCAGACTGCTGCTTGTCATTCGACCTGGAGTTGTGCTGCCATTCATCCTTCAGTCTGGTCAGGCTGGACCAGCGAATCTGGTTATCGACGACGGTAAACAGTTCATTCCCCCGCTTCGCTTGAATGCGCGTAGGTCCCGAATAGACGACTTCTTTCGTTCCGGGTGTATGTTCTGGTGATTTGGAGCCGGAGCTGGCAAAGATGGAGGCACCCGGCGCCGGGCGCGAGAGCCACGGCGGAGTGTAACTGATGACTTTCGGCATGGTCGAGGGGGATTCTTTTTGGCAAACAAGTTGAGATTGACAAGCCTTACAATCTCATCCTGCGCTTGAAGCCAAATGCGAGAGGGGAGGGAAGAAGCCGAAAGCACGACGGAGAGGAAAGGCAATAAACAGCTCCCGTCGGGGAAATTTTGGGCGGAAGCTGAAGCTGGAGTGAAGAAGGGCGGCGCGCCAAGAAGCAAGACTCCCGTTGGTTGTTGCTTCAGCTTCCCGACCTGCTCGGATCTTCTTTGCAGACTCACTTCCTCTCGTTGTTTAGTGAACTCCGCTCACATAGCTTGCCGGCGTTTATTTGTCATTTTCTTCCTTCGATTCTTGCTTGCCTAAAGCCGAGCATCATGAGCACCCTTGTTCACAACACCGTCGAACGCCTCGACCGGCCGAGTGCCTACTACCTGGGCAAGGTGAGCTTCGTCTCCAAGGCTACCGAACCATTACCATACTAATTGGTGAACTCTCTCCAGAACAAGCGTCGCAAGTTCAGCCACGATGAGGTCGAAAAGCCTGAAGATCCCGTCGACAACCTAAAGGATGCCACCACTCTTTACGTCGGTAATCTGTATGTTATGGAATGATCGCCTTTGTCAAGTCCATGCTAACAGCACAGTTCTTTCTACACCACCGAAGAGCAGATCCACGAACTATTTGCCAAGTGAGCGGAAACCACCGAATGCGCTATCTACGAGTAACGAGCTGACTGAGTACAGGTGCGGCGAGATTAAGCGTCTAGTTATGGGTCTGGATCGGTACAACAAGACCCCCTGCGGATTTTGCTTCGTCGAGTACTACACCCACCAGGATGCGCTGGACTGTTTGAAATACATTGGTGGCACAAAGCTGGATGAGAGAATCATTCGGACGGATCTGGATCCTGGCTTCGAGGAGGGTCGGCAATACGGGTATGTAGATGATCGGGTTTCCCAAAGGCGCAGGTTGCTGACGTTGGTAGACGTGGTAAATCGGGTGGTCAGGTCCGCGACGAGTACCGCGAGGAATACGACCCTGGCCGTGGTGGCTATGGACGTGCCTATGCGGATGACCAGCGACGACGGGAGGAAGAGGAGTACGGCAAGGGTAAGTAAAAGGGGGAGACAGACATATTCAGGTTGGCGCAAAAACGGCGTTTTCATATGTACAATCTATTTCTATCATTGCTAGAAAGGCATTCAAGAAAGAAAAAATTTACACCCGATACCCAACGCTATGCATCATCTATCATGATGTTGCCCTTTATGTGTGATGCGCGGCATGTCTTTTCTTCACTGATTCCTCGACCTGGCGCAACCACCACGCGTGGATGCGGGCGTCGTCAGTCAGCTCCGGGTGGAAGCTTGTTCCAAAGACGTTCCCTTGGCGGACCGCGATGATGTCTCCCGTCTCGTCATCGGCGTTAATGGGTGTCCCCTGACAGGCCAATCTGGCAGCCCGTCCGGGCAGAGCTGCCAGGACCTCCACACTATCTGCCATAGCCTGCCGAGCGACCTCGTCTTCCGCCTGGCGCGCCGGTGCAATGACTGTTTCTTCACGCTGAGCCTCGGCCACTTGTTCGCCCTCTTGGTGAGGGAGGATTTTCTCCACGACGGGGGCGCGGATAAAGACGGCGGGGAAGGCGGGCTGATTAGCGCCCAGGAAGGGCAAGTCGAGAGGGGCCTGGAAACTCTCCGTCTGTCGGCCGAAATGGTTGCGATTGACACGCACGTCTAACCCACCGATCAGATCCTGACCACCTTTCTTTGTGCGGTTGGCCGACTCAGCGAGGAGGATCAGACCGGCGCAAGTACCCCAAGTAGGCCTCCGGTGGACCCTGAGATGCCAATTAGTATGAACAATAAAGCAATGATGCGGAAAATCGATCAGACATACTTGACAAAGTCCCGCAGAGGCTCCAAGAGGTTAGACCTAGCGGCAACAAGGGCCATAGTTGTGCTTTCGCCCCCGGGCAGCACCAGCGCATCGCATCGCTCGAGTTCCTGCGGGGTGCGCACTTCGATAAAGTCCCATTGCGAGGCGGAACTGCGGTCTTTGGCGGGCAAATCGGCGGCCGCACTCTTCAGCAACTGGATATGTTCGTAGAAGGCGCCTTGCAAGGCGAGCACGCCGACGGTGATGCAGCCCATGACGAAGTATAGAATGTGAGTCAGTGGCGGCAACAATAGAACTATGACTCCAAACTCTCTATACTTTATTTGATGGGAGCAACGCCGCCTTATGTCAGCGGATCAATGTCGGACCGCTTATCACCACGTGCTGCCCCGCGTTCAGGCCTGACATTGGGGATGTTGACATTCTAGATTTATTGCCTTCATGACTTTGCTGTGACAATAAACTGGTTGTGGACCATTGTGTAGGGCGCTGAGGTTTATAATTGGTGTATCTGAATCTCGGAATGCATCAATGACCCTCGTGGAAAACCAACTCAACCCCTCATCTCACCTCCGCATAGACACCCGATCTCTCCTCACATCAGCTAGATACACCACTACATCTCACATCTCACATCTCACTCAGTTGAACACCACCACACCAACCTACCCAAAATGACCACCCCATCCGACCCCAAACCCACCCTCGTCCGGTGGTACATCGACACCCGGCCCCTAACCACCACCTCCCCGGCCCTCCCCCTCCTCGAGACACTCCAACCCACCGAACAACAAGCCATCCAGAAATACTACCACCTCAAGGACCGGCACATGTCATTAGCCTCCAACCTGCTCAAATACCTCTTCATCCACCGCACCTGCCGCATTCCCTGGTCCCAAATCACCATCAGCCGGACCCCAGCCCCGCACCACCGACCCTGCTTCATCCCATCGGCAGCAGTGCTTTCCTCCTCATCCACGACCCCAATCCCAACAGTCGAATTCAACGTCAGCCACCAAGACTCAATGGTCGCCCTAGCCGGCACTACCATCCCACCCAACCCCACACCAGCCAAGCAGCAACAAGAAATCCAAGTCGGAATCGACATCACCAGTACAACAGAACACCTACGCTCCCCGCGGAACCCATCCCCACCTACCCGCTCCGCATTCCTAGAGTACGTATCGATCTTCACGGAGATATTCTCAGCGAGGGAACTGTCGTTGATAAAGTCCCTAACGCATCCTGTTCACGGGTACTCGGTGTCGTCGACGGAAGGGGTGGTGTATAGTTATCGGGTTTTCTTTGCGTATTGGGCGCTGAAGGAGGCGTATATTAAGATGACGGGGGAGGCGTTGTTGGCGGAGTGGTTGAGGGAGTTGGAGTTTTTGGATGTGAGGGTTCCCGATACGGATGGGGAGGTTTATCGTGGGGTTAGGGTGTTGATGAAGGGGAGGGAGGTGAAGGAGGTGAGGGTGGAGGTGCAGGCGTTTGAGGGTGGGTATTTGGTTGCGACGGCTGCTAGGGGGGGTAGGGTTGGGAGGGTGGATGATGGTACTAGGAGGGATGGGGATGGGGATGTGTGGGAGGGGTTGAGGAGGTTGGATGTTGAGGGGGATGTTAGGGAGTGTGCGGAGGGGAGGTGTGCTTGTTTGGGGTGATGGTGTCTATTCTATGATATCTGTGGGTATTGTGGTTTACGTAGGTTGGTTTTTTGGTGGAGTGGCGGTCTAAAAAAAAGCATTAAGAATATGCTCTATATACACTCTAGGAAAGAAACCCATTGGCCGCGTCATGCAATGGATGGCCTGACAAAGTCCAAGACAAGGTCTTTACTTTACCCGCCGCTGCGTCTTTCTTTCTACTGGATTTATGTCCCTCCAGTCTGTTCTCTCGCCCCTCAGCAGTGGTTGTTGCTACCTTAACCAGTCCGGGGTATCAACCCACACTCTTCTCTCCTCTGTCTCGCCAATTCAAGCATTACTCGTGTCGTGTAATCGTAGATGACGGGAATAACAATAGTCAGCCTGTAAAAAAGTTGATCTGTTTGTTTTCCCTACAGCTCCACAGCAGTGGACTTGCCGTTCGCGGCAACCGTCGAATCCACCTCCTGCTTGTCCTTGTCGGCCAAGTCGAGCAGGGTCTTGAGCATGGACTCGCGCGTGGACTTGGTCAGAGCGTCGATGTCGGCGGTCGTGAGACCTTCCGTGCTGATCGGGGGGAGGACTATATGCAGTTAGCACTTCATGAATTCAGCCAGAAGGCGAAGAGGGTGAAACGTACCCTTGATCTTGATCGTGCCCGGCTCGAACCTCATGTTCCGGGGAGACAGCACATGCGAGTAATTCTCCGTAACCACGGGCACAATGGGTACACCCGCCTTCAGCGCAAGATGGAACGCGCCCTTCTTGAAGGGCAACAGTTCCGGGGTATCGGAGTAGCTGCGCGTGCCCTCGGCGAAGATGAAGACACTCTGGCGATGGTTGCGCATCTCATCGGCAGCACTATCAAAGGCCTTGACGGCCGTTTCGCGGTTGGCACGATCAATGAAGACGGTGCGAGAGAGGGACATGAACCAGCCGAGGAAGGGAATATATTTGAGGGACTTCTTGGCCGTGACACTGCAGTACGGAGGGAAGATGTAGCCGAGCATGAGCACGTCTAGTTCGGACTGGTGGTTTGCGATGAACACGGCGGGTCGGGTGTTCAGGTGTTCGGCGCCTTCGATGATGTTGAAAGTCACGCCGGTGGTGTAGCGCATGACCCACTTGAAACTGCGCGCAGTGGCATATTGCGAGATGCGGCCGTAGCCGGCGATCCGGAGCACAATTGAGGCGACGACGCCGTAGGTGGCGCAGAGGAGGAGGGAGCCATAGGCGGCGAGACACCGGGCGACGAAGGCGGCGCGGGGAACTTTTTGGCCGAGGGCGAAGAGAGAGAGCGTGAAGACGACGAAGGAGCTGATGCCCGAGGCGACGTAGGAGAAGAGGGACATGGTGGTCGTGGTGGGGAGGAGGTTTTCAGGTGGGGGTAAGAGAACCGGCTGATCTGCATCAGGAACGGGTTAGACGGGGGCTTTATAGCCAGAAGCCTAAGGGTGGGTTCGGGGCAAAGCGAACCTGGGGTTCTCTGGGGTATGCGGACTTTGGGAATGACGAGGTCAGGCGAGAGGGCCGCAAAGACGGTGCATGACCCGGTAGTAGGGGTGGCGGGAAGAAGGGGAGGAGGAAGCGGAGGAGAACTAGGAAGAGGGATGTCGGGGAGGAAGAGAAGGAGAGTGAGAAGAAGATTGAGAGAAACCTTGAATTTAGGGGAACAGAGAGGGAGATCTTCGCGGCATCCAATGAATCCCAAACTCTCGTCTTTCGGTCTCAACGGATTTGGATGGATTTCCGCCGGTTTCTGCCGTCTCACCGCCTGTTTCTCCGCCCAACATCCCCGGTATAGTACTCAACAGCTAGTCACCTGAATCTATTATCATTGCTCTACAAGTATGAAGACAAGTGGGTATCAATGTGCTAATAATAGCTCGATTATGCAGCCGCTCGGACAACAGTCTTCCAAGAAGATATGTTCAGCTCCGTCGTCCGGCCTCGTCCCTTCCCAGCCTCCCACGCTAACATACAGAATCCAATCCAGATGCCTCGAACCTCGCGAGGTCTGGATGCTCGCAATGCCAGTTCTAACCAACCCACCGGCGAACGCCCTCGTAATGCTGATGCTGGTGCAAATTCAACCCAGAAAGAGAGAAAGAGAAAAGACAAACGCCGCTCCTCGCCAATAGGGATTCCAGGGTACAGATGGGTTCATGGACAACAGGAACCCGTCGAAGAAGTACACAGGGGAAGCAGGAAGAATACTAAGAACAAGGGAGAAAGAAAATCATGCCATATCTTCGTCATCCTCTTCATCATCATCCAGGGATTCCATAGCATCCTTGATGTATTGCGCCGCCTGAAGCTGTTAGCTGGTGCATTTGAGTTTGGCGAGGGATAGTGAGGGTTCAACACTTACCTTGGGATCCAAATTCAGAGCGGTCGTGAAATGCTTGATAGCATTCGCCTTCTCATGCAACATCTTGTAGAGTTTACCCAGCAGATAATGCACGTTGGCCTCATCCGGTGCCATATCCTTGAGCACCTTCAATTCGGTGAGTGCCAACTTGAGCTCCGAGAGCTTCATCAGCACGCGAGCCTTGCGGAAGCGAGCAAGAACAGAATGAGGCGCCAATTGGCAGGCCCGTCCATACTGAGCGAGAGCCCCGCGGGGGTTGTTCATCTTCTCCAATACCAGTCCGATGCAGCAGATGAGCACCGCGTTCGTAGGATTGATGTTGGCCGCATTGCGGAAATGTTGTTCGGCAAACTCGAGCTTGCCCATCTTGTCGTATACCGTACCCAATCCATACCAGGCGTTATAATGACGACTGTCAGCGCTGATGCCGTGTCGATACGCATCGAGAGCCTTGTCGTATTCTTCGTTGGCCACATATTCATGTCCTTGCAGAGTGAACCCGTACGCGAAATGAGGATCAAGTTGCGTGGCTCGCTTGAAGCACTTCAGAGCCTGGTCATGATCCCGCTGGTGGGAGAATGAGTTGCCAACGGCGCACCAGGCCTGAGGGGAGAGACGGTCTGTTTCCATGAGCTCGTGCGCCAGATAAGCCAGCTCGACATCATTCTTCAGATGCCAGAGCACCGTTGAGTAGATTTCCATATCCTCCAACCGGGACGGAGCCATACTCTTTACCCGGACAAAGTATTTCTCGGCTTCGGAATACATCGCCTGCTCGTAGTATGCTCGACCTATTTGGGAGAGTACCCATGGAGTCTCCCGCTGGCCTTGAGAGAGAGCCGCGAATATCTGGGTAGCTTCTGCGCAACGATAGCGACACAACGCAAAGTATCCGGACGCCAACTTCGAGAACAGCTCTAATAACCATGTCAATGCCTCCACAGCTTTAGACCGATCAAGCGAAGGTCCTCTCGATGAAGTGTGGTGCGTCCCATTCGATGCCGAGGTGGCTGGCCGGTGGTCCTTGGCCTCGCCATCATGCGTGTCACCGATGTGTTTTCGATTGCCGCTCACGACCCGGCCCACACTAGGAGCGGTTGTAGTGCGACCCTTCGCACCAGTAGCCCTGACCTTCTTCATTTCTCGACCATCCTTTGTCCCCAGCGCCGTACTAGAAAGTTTGCTCGTAGTAGGCTTGATCTGGTTGAAGAGGCGGACGCTCCGCCGTTGCGGCGCGCCAGGTTCGGTGGGTTGCTGCGCGGAATGAGCAACTGATCCAGAGACAGTTCGCTTGCGGTCGCCCACACGGACTCCGTGTGAGAGCTCTCGCTCCGTATAGGTTGTAGTCGACTCATCGGGATCGGGCTTAGTCCTGGTCCGGGGTCGTATACCCGTGGGCTTCATCTTTGGTGGGGAGTCCATGCCATGATCGGCACTAATCGTTTGTATTGTTCGGTTCTTCCGTGCAGGTGCCAAGGGCGGCTCCATAGGTGCGTCTGTCCGGTGCATGACACGGTCGTCCGACTCACTGCTTTGGCCTCCAGGTGTTTCGGTCCCTTCTCGAACTGCCGGAATTGCTGATGTACCCGTGGATGCCACGCTGACTGTGCTGCCATTCAGCTTCTCCCAGAGAGCGGAGCTCCCATGCGTGCCGACTGCCTCAGTCCGAGATGTCAAAGAAGTAAAGGGATCGGTGCTCGAGTTCAGTTTCGGTTGCGACTGCAAGGGACCTGCGGGATGTGCTGCCTTATCCGAAGACACGTCCAAGTCATCTTGTGAGGAGGATGCTAACAAAGCGCTGAGTTCAGGTGTCATCTTGAAGATATTGGGAACGCGGATGTTGACCCCTTTGAACAATTAGCGACAGCATTCTCCCTATCCGCCCGCGATACTCACCAGTCTCACACAAGCCCAAGAAAGCGTCCCACATGAACGGGTTCAACTTGAGCGCGTCGACATAGCATTCAACAGCCGCATTGAGTTCATTGTGCGCATAGAAAAGCTTGCCCTGTAGACATAGCACCGCTGCCGCATCGGGTAAATGTTGCCTGCGCGTTTCGCTGTGTTTTCCTGGAACGGCGAAATGAAGATGTCAGCTGTGATCAGCCTGAAATGATAGTCGCGTCCATTTGCGACAAGCGGGATACTATAAAGAAATGCTGAACAAAGCGTACCCCAATGGTTCTTTGTGGACCAGAGTCCTTTGCTTCGTTCCAACGCCGTGATGCCTTCAGGATATTTTCCCAGGTCCAAGCACGCCTGGGCGAACACATACGCGCAGCCCAGATGAGTGCCTCGCCATCCAAAGTTCTTGCTGTAATCGTATGCTGCCTTCACTTGACCGCTCTGAAGATGGCACAAGGCGAGTAAATATGAAGATTCCGCTGCTCGGGGTTCGTAGGCGTGCAACCGACCGGCAAGGAAAAGCGCATTACGGACGAGGTTGTTATCAAGATGGTAATATATTAATTGCCTAAGTTGGCTCGATATATGTGCGGTGGAGGGAGACATGTTGAGGTGTAGGATTCATTCAAGGAGGAGAGAGAGAAGGAGGGGGGGCGATATCACAGAGGCGCTGCAGGAGAGGAGGCGGTATTGACGTTCGTATTGGGAACGGCGCGAAGGGAGCTTTGCGGAATCAAGGAACAGGTGAGCGACAGGTGAGGCCGTTAATCTGTTAACACCGAACCAGCATGGGTGAAGTTGAGAAACAGTCCAAAGGGATTGAAAGAACACAGAGAGATGTGAGGGGAGCGCCGCGTGAACCGGATTTAAGGCAACGACGACGTGGTGTTTCTTTCAACTGTATAGATAGGGAACAGAGAGAAAAAAAGATTGTTAGACCGTCAACACCCGTCAAAACAATAACCAGTCAAGTATATCGCCTGGCTAGTTTGCGCACGATGAATCGCAACGGTTCTTGTCTAGATCTCCGCCACAGATCAGACTAGTCGAGAGGGGGTGGGTTGAAATGCGAAGCTGTGGCAGAGGAGAAAGGGAAAGTGGATGACGTCCGGACGACTCGTGACGCCGTGTAGGGCCCTAAGAAGGTGTCAAAGGGAGTCAAATCGCATGTCGCGACGAGCAGACAGCGAAAGCGGCAGACAAGATACACGCGGAAGAAGCCCAAAGGAGGCCCAGGGGCGAAGCGGCAAAGTCCGACAGAAGTCGTAGTTCACGACGCCTTTTCTGGCGATGTTTTGGAGCAGCGAATCTGGCGGAGAGCGTGGCTGGTGAGAGGCGGAGAGCGGCTTGGCTGTTAGTAACTTACAGTTGGTTGGTTGTGGTGGGCAACGCCATTCCCTATTCGCCATCTTCTTACTACTGGTACTACTACTACTACTACTACTACTAACTACAGGTGTTACTTACTTTCATCTTCACTCCCACTATCAATCAAATCTATCAATCGATTATCTAGACTCCTTATCCCTCCCTGATCATGCAACTTGCTTATCGCTAGTTAATTTATTCACTGAGCGGATCATCGCTCCCTGTCATTTCCACCAACCCCCCACTACACCCTAACACCACTTGCATCCGCACGCGACCTGCATCATCGTCATCCGATCATACCGGATTAATCTCAACTTCACACACTACCACTACCACCACCACTTCCAGCCATGGCTCAAGTCAGTATACCTCGTTCCTCCCCATAAACTATATCCCTCCACTCAAATAACTAACCAACCTCTCAACAGAAAGCCGCCAAAACCCTCGCCGCGCGCAACGCGTCCCTCCTCACCCGCACCCACCTCATCAGTGCCGCCCTGCACATCCTCTTCCTAACTCTCCACTGGCTCTTCAACCGCCCCCGCTCCCTAACCCCCTACTTCACACTGGCCTGCCCGACCCTCCTCATTGAATTCTACCTCGAACGCCTCGGCCGTCCGGTCTACAACCCCGCTGATGGATCCCTCCGCTCTCCCGGCGAGGATCTCGGCGCCGCAGGCCTGACGGAATACATGTGGGACGTGCTGTACTGGACGTGGGGTTGTCTTGGAGCTGCCTGCTTGTTTGGCGATCGTGCTTGGTGGTTGTGGATTGTTGTGCCGGTGTATTCGGTCTGGTTGGCGTATAGTACCTTTATGGGGATGAAGAGTGGGTTGGCGGGGATGGGAGGTGCGGGTGCTGGGCAGGAGCAAGGTGGAGGTGCGGCGGAGAGTAAGAGGCAGAAGAAGATGGAGAAGAGGGGTGCTAGGGGGGTGCAGTATCGGTGAGGTGGTCTTGTGAGGGGTGGGTTGTTGTTTTGGAATTGTAAGTGGAGTGGCTTTTTGGGGGATGGTTTATGCATATATATTACAGATGGCTACGCATTGCGCGGTTGGGCTTCACCATTTTTTTTTTTTTCCTTTGGTTGAGCAAATTGTATTTTAATGTATGTGAAGATAGATTGGATGCGAGATGAACGCTTCCCAAAAAGCAAAAGTTTGGGTGCCAGAAGGGCACAAGAATGTTGAAGCACGAGTGGCCGTTACAAGAATTGAAACAAATAAAAACAGCACATAGTACACAGCAAAGGTAGGAGGAGGAGGTTCTGGTGGTATAGGGGCAGAATAGAAAATGCTATATCATGACGTACAAATCGTGGGGGAACTATGTGGGGAATATCATGGCTGACCTGAGATGGTAAATCAAGCGAATAACAAGAATGTTTTGGGATATCAAATCATGAAAGAATTGCCAAGTAACAGCCAACCCTGTTTGTTTGTCTGTCTTGTCTCAGGTTACAACTCCTCTGCAGAGTTGTCTCCGCTGGCTGGGGTTGTTTCAGGGATGATGGTTTCCTCAGCCTCGGATACAACACTGCTGGCAGTGGAAGCCAGAGTTGCGGAGGACGATTCGACGTCATCCATGGGCGAGCCCTCTTCGACCCCGTCTATGTCGATATCCTCGGAGAGTGACTCGGGGGTATCTTGCACCTCTTCGTTGTTATCCTCGTCGTCGACGATAGCACTAGACTCGAAGTCTGCTTCGGATGATGCATTCGAGGCTTCATCGGTTTCGTCGATAGGCTCTTCGGATTCCGGGAAGGGGGCATTCGCAGCCTCTGCATCGAAATCACTAACCTCATCAGAAGCGTCGTCAAATGCTACAGAAGGCTCTGGTGTTGGCGCTGGAGTCCCGTAAATTGAGTGCAGCTTGTTCATAATCTCTTCGGCGTAGGCAGAGTCCTTGTCCACAAGTAGACCCGAGATGAGAGCCGCAACAGCCTGTTGCTGCTCAGCCGACAATTGGGGGCCAGAAGCCTGTGGTGTTTCGCCTTCCGACGGTGTTCTCACATCAGCCGCAGCTACTCCCCATGCCGCCTTCAGGTAATCGGCATCCTGGTTATCACCCAAAGGGCTAGTCGACTCGTATTCCGAAGGCAATCCACCGTTAGCCTGGGGCGAAGCATGCTCCTCATCATCTGCCATACTCTCCTCGTCGCCGTCAGATCCGTCATTCACGGCCCGAGAGGCAGCATCATAAGCAAAGACAGTCCCATCCGGACGCTCAGCATCGGCTGACTCATCTGCCAGTCCTTCTTCATCCACAACAGGCTCGGGGGCGCGGCTAGGCTTAGGCAACGAAGGCGGAGGCTCAGATCTGGTGTCAAAGTCATCGCTTGCTTCCCTGGCAGCGATCTTCCACTTGCCAACGTCCCTCAGCCGGGTCAGCTCCTTGGCGGCGGCCTCAGCAACTTCCATTCCGTGCGACAAGATCTCGTCCGCTACTGCTCGCGCTTCCTCAAGCTTCGCATGCTGAAGGCCAAATTCCAAGAACTCATCCTTCCATTCCTCGAACTGCGCCTTCAGTGCATGGTACCTAGCCCAATCCTTGTAGGTAACACCATCCATCCAGGCCCAACGCATGCCGACCTCTTGAAGTCCGAGATCACGGACGCTATCCAGGACATCGAGTGTAGAGTTGATTGCGAAAGAAACGCGCCTTGTAAGCTCTTGGTCGAAGGAATGGCGCCATTCTCGAAGGGCATGAGCACGGTCCCGGATAGACACTGCGGCTTCCTTGATGTTTCCAAAAAGCTCGTTTGTCGCTGCCTGCTCCTCTTGTGGCACGTCTTCTTTGGGCAAGGACTCGGCGAGGTTGTTGATATGACGCTTAAGAGCTATAAGCTCGTTGTCAACAACGGCCTCCAATGCGGTTGCCAAGCTTTCTCCATGTGCGCGAACGCCACTTCCAATGAACCCGTCGACTATCTCCTGCAAGCGCTCTTCAAGATCCTCGAGTCCCTTCTCTGCGGCAACGGCAAACTTTTGTTGCCAGGTGCGCAGGTCAGTCTCGATGCTATTGCGTGCTTTCGCAGCTTGTTCAGTAGGCGACAGCGTAGGCGTTGCGGTAGCCTGCTCGGTTATGGACGACGTCGTCAAGTCGTTTACCTCAGTAGCCTTTGGTGCAGTGAGAAATGATGCTTGTTGAGATGCACTGTGAATGATAGGTTAACACATGAAGCACGTATATCGCAGCGATAAAAGCCTACCTTTCCACTTCCTCTGCAACCTGTCGCAGCCTCTTCTCCTCACGATAACTTGCCAGTCTTTCGCCGATCTTAACTAGCTGAGGCTCGACATTCTGAGAGTACACTCCGGTGACTCTGGGCCATAATGTACTATGAATGAAGTAGATAGCCGCCGACCATGAGTTTTGCGCATAAGGGAGTACGGTTGTTGTGAGAATTTCCTGGCCCGTTGTATAGGTCTTACCGATGAAAGGCCTATACTTTGCGCCGAATGGGAGAAGGTAGTCTCCATATGCAAACTTGATCGCGCCGTTGGCCTTTTGGAAGGATGGCGACAAGGCCGCCTCGACGGTTTGAACATGGGGGTATAGTTGAGATTGGTACAAGCCATTTGCTCTGTCCTTAGCGGACTGCAACTGTGGGACGACAATCGTCTCCCACTGCTGCTGGCCATAAAGCTGGGCTTTATCCAAAGCGGGTGCCCCAAATCTCTCATATCCATGCTTGACGACGCGCGAAGTGGGCGCGTAGACTTTCTCATTGAGAACCTGCACGTATGGGCGCGCTGTCTCGACATATGGCGCGCCATAAGCGTTATAGTACGGCATCACATGGGGCTCGACATAGGAGCGAGCAACAAGGTATGGTTTGCATACTCGCGGCGAGGAATCCGTAAGGTCGGAGAGCTGAGAAGGGCAGCGCAGGAATGGCGTAAGAAGAGCATACCAGATACAGAGCCTATCAGTTTGATCGCCAGATTAGCAACGGTTCAACTCCATAACGCGGTGGACCGAAGATCCCGGTCTAGCTTTTTAAGCAAGACTTACCGCACCACCAGCCCAACTGTCCACCGGATAGTTCCTCGTTTGCTTGGCTTGGAAGCACTGCTCCTGGACTTTATTATCCGATCGGCCCCATCCGGGGCGTGGCTATTATCCGGAACGGTCATCATGAGTCGTCCCCGTCGTCAACGGGGGTGCCGCTCGCTTCGAGTCCGGCGGGCAGTAAACTGGAAACTCGCGTCGCGTGTCCAATTCAATGAAGATAGAAGATGACTGAGTCAAAGATGGTGAGACCTAGATTATCTCCTGAGCCTTCCGGAAATTCGGACAAACTAAAGGGCCCAGTCGACTTTGGGGGGGGGGGGGGAGATGAAAGGGTCTTAGCAACGTTTTTCCGGAATCACAAGCTAGGATCCTCGAAGCGCACGCGACGATCAATTCCCGTCTCCGCCTTGGCGCCGTTGAGTTTTAGAGGGGTACTCTGTAATACCAGTCTGTCTGTGTCTTGACGGGAAAGGAACAGACAGTGTCACGGTATATATCTAGAACGGAGGCAAAGCAAGGCTTGAATGACGAGATTTGGAGTGGGTGCTCTGTCGATCACAGAGTAGATCTCCAGTTGTCAACAACACGCTTGCTGGATTCAGGGAACAACAACAATAGCCATAGTAATTAACCTTTATTGTAAGGAGCTGTGAGGTCATCGGTCCTTCGGTGGCACTTCACAATACAGTCTTACAGAATCTGACGTGCAGATCTGCATTTATGCAGGCAATTGGGCGGCCCCTCACCGCCCTTGGTGGTACTGTACCGTAATGTCACATGACCGAGACATGGAGGGTCTTGTGCTGATTCAGCATATGTTGGGGGGATCGACCAGTTCAGGTGAACCACAGCTTTGGCTGGTCTTTTGCCTTTCCACCGACTGCTTTGCGTCTTGCCACATACGCCTCCTACGGAAACCCGCCTATGGTTGAATACTGACGTGTATTTTCTCCTAGCAGCAACTATTTGAAACTCTTGTTGAAGGAGGATTGTACCAAATCGCGAGAGAATCCCCTGGCGCAGTGTCTCCGTTCCGTCATCTCGCCTTCTCGGTTCACACGTACCTGTTCGCGTTGCTACACGCCTTTCCGAACATGATATCTGATTGCCGCTGCTAAAGACGATAAGCTCGTCGAGTCGACGTTGATTGCGCAAAATGGAGTTTCCCGAGGGCTCGTCCCGGGATTATACCCATTCTACCTCGTTCCCCGACCTGATGAATGACCCGGCCTATCAGACGAACTATAAGGGGAAGGAGAGGGAGTTTGAAGAGCCAGACACTTGTCGCATATGCCGTGGTGAGGGTACCGAGGAAGAACAACTTTTCTATCCGTGCAAATGTAGCGGGAGCATCAAGTTCGTTCACCAGGCATGCCTGGTAGAATGGCTGTCCCACTCTCAGAAGAAGCATTGCGAACTCTGCAAAACGCCGTTCCGCTTCACGAAGTTATACGATCCGAATATGCCCCAGAATCTCCCTGCTCCGCTTTTCCTCCGACAACTACTAATTCATAGTTTTCGCACTATTGTCACATGGCTGCGGTTTGTACTCGTTGCGTTCGTCTGGCTTGGGTGGCTGCCGTGGTCGATGAGAGCAATTTGGAGAGCTCTTTTCTGGCTGGCTGATGGCCGCTGGTCTGGGGCGGATGCTCCCCAGCAATCTTCATCCGAACATTTAGCCCAAGTTGTAGCAAATGGAACGGCTTCCATGAATGTGGGAGCCGCTACCACCGCATTAGCGGGAGCATCAGATGTGCCAGCCGTGCAGTCACCGGTTTCATCTATGTTCAGTTTCTCATCAGGCGAGCCTCTACTTCTCACAGTCATCAAGAAGGCTTTTTCTGCCTTGTTCTTCCCTGCAATGTCGGGCACCGGTTCGTTGAGCACCAGCCCTTCGAATGTGACAGCTGGATCATACAAGCCTCGACGCCCATCGTGGCTCTCAGATGTGGAATTTCTCAACACACTGACACCATCGCCCACGATTAATAACATTCTTATTGATACCCTAGAAGGTCAACTCATAACATTATTGGTTGTCATCTCGTTCATTCTGATTTTCCTGATTCGCGAATGGGTTGTTCAACAGCAGCCCATGGCCAATATCGCCGAGGGTGAGCGGGAAGCTGCTGTCCAGCTAATTGCGAATAACCGTCCAGTACAGCGCCCCGAAGAGGTACAGCCTGAGCTACATGCCCCTCAGCCAGGGGATGTACCCCGCGATGAAAGCACCCATGAACACGTCGAAGATATTTCTAACCGCGCAGACGAAGGGGGACTTGGCTCTCTGGCTGAGACCGAGTCGTATCGTGTGCATTCTTCGTTCCGCGATGGTAACTCAAGCAGTTCCAGTGACTCGGGTACCCAGGGACCTAGTACTTCTCAGCATATGTTCCGGCGTAATAGTGACAGTGAGGATGAACTGAACCCCTTGTCCCTCGAGCACTCGACCTCTCACGGCAACCAGGTCTGGCCTGGGGTGGACACGTTCAGGGATCTCTGGGCGCGTGGCCATGGTGATCCTGAGCAGGTCCTCAGACTCGTAAGAGAGGAGGGGCGCCAGGATGAGCTGGGGTGGATCGTCACGGCAATGACCAAGCTTCAACGGAACGATTCTTTGCGCGGTTCTTGGAGGCGCGAGTCACCTCTTCACGAGGCTGCGAGTTCGGATTCCTTTGCCGATCAGACGGAGATGCAAAGTGAACCCAGTTCAGCACGATCACCACTGTTGGAGCCCTCGTCATCAGCGGTCAACCATCATCCCTGGGACATCGCTTCCGTGTCTAATACACTGGGGACTGGCGCGAGTGATGATCGGCAAGACCGCGAATTTACTAATGATGATCTCGGCTCTAGCCTCCGTGCTGTAGGCGACTCTGAGGTACCGTCCGATTCGACACCTTCCGCCGACACTGGCATTCAGTCTGATCAAGTTCCGAGCGCTTCGGCTTCGACCAACGCGGTTACACCGAATGCTGAAAGGGCCTCCGAAAATGCCGTGGCAACGCCGCAGAATGATCAAGCAGCGGCGACTTCTCCGAAGAACTTGGTTGCCAGACTCTTCGACTGGTTCTGGGCTGACCTTGAAACTCCTGACCAAGGTCAAGATCGTCCGCAAGAGGATGATGATCATGTAGTCGAGGACCCTGCTTTGGAGGCGCCGTTCGTACCCATTCAGAATAACAGACGCCTTGCCAACGAAGCCGCACCGAACAACCAAGCCATCGCCCCAGACTTCGGTCTTGATGCAAATGACGCTGAGGCAGTCGAGGAGGGAGATGACTTGGAGGGCATTCTGGAACTCATTGGCATGCAGGGACCAATTTTTGGCCTTCTGCAGAATGGAGTCTTCAGCGCGCTCTTGATCTCGTTTACCGTGGCAATTGGCATTTGGCTTCCCTATCTCTGGGGCAAGATTGCCCTTGTACTCCTCGCGAACCCCGTACAACTGGTCTTTGGCGTTCCCATGACTGCCATATCGGTCTTCGCAGATGTGACGCTGGACACTCTTATTGGTAGCTTGGGCTACGTTATGTACTGGCTCAGCCTCATATGCAAAGTGGTGCTCAGTCCCTTCGGTGCTTTTGTTCCATTGGGAGAATGGATTCCGCAGACCAAGTCCGTCACCAGTGCCTCGTTATCACTCATCGACGCCAGTAGTCACCGACTACGGAATGTTTTGCAGGCTTTCTTTGTCTTCCACGAATCCGACGTGCCTATGTTCTCGGTTCTTTCCCATCAAGCTCTAAAGATCCACCAAGCGCGCATCGCCGCCTTTACTCATACGGCCTTCACAGTCGGCAAATTCATTCTGCATGACTTCCCTCTTCGAATTGTGTCTCATGGACCGGTGGGTGCCTTTTCAGTTGAGAATGGCTTTGACGGCTTGGCCCAGCTACTAGTACAGGCACGGGACCAGGTCTACGACCTTGTCCATCAGTTGCTTTACACCTCGAAGGGCACAAGCTGGTTCGGTTCCAGTGTGAGTGGTTCAGCTTCGGCAGGCATCACCATCAGTTATGATCTAGCTGTGTGGGATACGAAAGATCGCGTCATTGCTATCTTTATGGGCTACCTTCTTGCGTCGGCCCTCGGACTTCTGTACTTGCGTTTCACCAATATGCTTTCTGGTGGTGAGCGTGGACAGAGAGTGGAAGGCATTGTTGCCGACATACTTCACCAAGCAGGTGGTGTGATGAAGGTTATCCTCATCATCGGCATCGAAATGATTGTTTTCCCACTGTACTGCGGTTCGTTACTTGATGTTGCACTGTTACCTCTCTTTGAGAACGCCACGATTGCGTCGCGTTTAGAGTTCACCTCCTCATCACCCCTTACGTCTCTGTTTGTGCACTGGTTCATTGGAACCTGTTATATGTTCCATTTTGCCCTTTTCGTATCCATGTGCAGGAAGATAATGCGGAGCGGTGTACTTTGTAAGTAATACCCTGCCTCTTTCCCCAAACTTTTGCTAATTCATGACTAGACTTTATTCGCGATCCAGACGACCCGACATTCCATCCGGTGCGAGATGTTCTGGAGCGCAACATCACAACGCAGCTGCGGAAGATTGCGTTCAGTGCCCTTGTCTACGGCGCTCTGGTCATTGTCTGCCTGGGTGGTGTCGTATGGGGAATCTACTACGCCTTCGACGATGTGCTTCCTGTGCATTGGTCTGCTACTATTCCTGTCTTGGAGTTTCCCGTGGACCTGTTGTTCTACAACTTCGTCATGCCGCTTGCCATTCAATCGATCAAGCCATCGGACGGTCTCCACAATCTTTATGATTGGTGGTTCCACAAGTGCGCTCGTTTTCTGCGCCTGACCAACTTTTTCTTTGGCGAGAGGCAAGTCGACGAAGAGGGATATCACGCCCGTCGGACTTGGTGGGACGTCTTGTCAGCCGCCAAGGGAGATCCGGAACACCCGGTAGTCGATGGACATCCGCAAAATGACGACAGTGAGAAGCCCAGTGTCTACTTCGCTCGTGATGGACGGTTTGTACGGGCACCTGCTTCCGATCAAGTCCGCATCCCTAAAGGCAGTCAAGTGTTCCTGGAGGTGACCGAGTCTAATCAGCGGGTTGACGGGGCACCGGATACGGATCAGGGTCTCCATGGGCGAGCCAACGACATGTTCACCAAAGTTTACATTCCGCCGCGCTTCCGTACTCGCATTGCAGCCTTCATCCTACTGATCTGGGTGTTTGCTGCTGCCACCGGTGTAGGCATCACCGTTGTTCCTCTGATCATTGGCCGAAAGGTCATGTCGTCCACTTTCCCTCACCGACCGCTCAACGATGTGTATGCCTTCTCCACGGGCACATCCATCGTTGGCACTGCTGCCTACATTCTGTACTATTCGCGTCCTTTCCTTACCGCGGCGAAAGACCGGTTGAGCCCTTACCTACAGTCCCCTCGGGAAGCATGCGTCGGTGTGATGCATATCGTCCTCGATGCGGCTCGAATTACCTATGTTCTCGCCACGTTCGCGGTGCTTCTGCCGTCCCTTGTTGCGCTAGTCATGGAACTATATCTCTTAGTTCCAGCGCACACGTATGTTGGTGGCGCCCAGGCCCATGTCATCCACTTCATCCAGGACTGGACACTCGGAGTGCTCTATGTACAAATGGCCGTTAAGTTTGTGTTGTGGAATGCTGCCTCCCGTCCAGCAGCGGCACTGAATGCTATTGTTCGAGATGGAATGCTGAAGCCTAATGCTAAAGTGACTACGCGAGCAGTTTTGCTCCCGGTGATGCTGCTGGCCACGCTTGCGGTCGTGGTACCACTGATCCTTGGATTCAGCATGAATGCCACGGTATTCTCATCCACGCCGGAGGTGCAGTCCAAGGTTTACCGGTATGCGTATCCGACCACGCTGGTAATCAGTCTGATGGGCTGGCTAGTGTATCTGGTACGGCGGCAAGTGGAGATTTGGCGAGTCAATATCCGGGACGACGTCTACCTAATTGGGGAGCGCCTGCACAATTTCCGCGAGAAGCGGGCACGGGATGTCGGGGTGCCACGGCGAGTCATTACCGGGTAAGCGATTTTGTCGTCGTTGCCTGAACCCTTCTTTCCTATTTATCATTCAATTTCTATGTAAATCAGTTACAAAGTTTCAATAGACGTATTTTAAAACAGCAAATATGATGATTAGACATGATTATTATGTGGGTGCCTGTAGGACAGCTGCCTAGCATTGGATTGTTGTTGCGGTGCATCATACATTATAGTAGGTTGCGTGTACTAATGGAGTAAACAAGGGCAGTCAGTGTCAGTAGGTAATAGTAGAGTTTCAAGGGTCATTCGGTGTAACCCTGACCCTAGTGGGGCTTGTGATGTGTTTCGACTGCAGAACCTTCAACAACAAGCATGATGGGGATTATCCAACTGGGAGGCTAATAAGGTAGAGATGACTACGTAGATACTTGCAAGATTTACCTGTCTGCCTAGGGACGATCTGGTACCATTTCCTGATTCGGGATAGTGCCAACACATGCAAGAAATGCTACTCGGCGGGTTCACCCGCACTTGAATGTTGGGTTAGTCATGCCGCACAATTACTCTAAATCAGCAGTGCACGTGCCCATCAGCAGCGCGCGGGCCAATCACAGCCCCGCCGTGGTGGATCAGGCCAAAAAGGCGGCTGCCTGGGGATGAGATGTGGCTTGGCAGCGGGTGAGGCTTTGCGGGCACTCGCCACTCCCTATTGGTTAGGCAACAGGATTCCACCTTATTCTTAACTTATTCTTAGTGACTGACCTTCCCTCCCATCTTCGCTCTCGCTACTGCACTGTCTATCTAACCCCCATCACCACAACCCACCACCATGTTGCACTACTACTAACAGATAGTGCCTGTCTTCCCTACCCCCCCCTCCTCCGCTCTGTTATCAGACCATGCGTCTTCTCTAGACCTCTTCCCCTACCCACTCTGCAATGTGCTGAAAGAGCTCCAATCCCCGTCCTTCGTTTACCTGCGTGATACCCCCGGACTCTGCGCGCCAAGATGTCCGTCCTCCGCCATCATGGGGGTGCCTACCTCCAACGGCGCCTCACCAAGATGTATACCGATACAAAGACCTCTTGTGAGAGTGTCACTACGGCTTCCATTGCGGTTGATGATCCCGAATTGGTCATGCTGCATCGCAGTTTCAAGACCCAAAGAGATCGATTGCTAGCGTGGGGCCTGGACTGGAGCGATGCCAGTGCCGCCCAGCCCAATGATATTGACGAATCATTAACCCAAGCTGGCTACAGTGAGATTGTCGAGAGTGTCATGTCTTCCATTCAGGTGCTGCTGAATGAGGCGGAGCGTATCCAGCATGGCGGTGCCTCCGATCTGCCTCCGAAAGGCGCTAGTGCGGACACTCCCAAGGGCGGTCTCAGTGGCCTTCCCGTCAAGTCTCACTGGACCAGTGATGAGATCAGCCGTTCCAAGACTCTGCTGGCAGACCTGGAAGGCTACATTGACACTCTCTATGACCTGTCGAGCTCTCGACGCAACATGAGTGCTAGCATGACTGCTGGTGGACAGTCCACCACCAAGGGCCGATCCCGGCCCGCTGCCATTTCTGACTACTCCATCTTGGACTCAAAAGCCTACCACGGTGCATCTTTCGACGGCACACAACAGAGTCCTTTTGATGTAACACCCTCGCCTACGCACAATGCGGCGGCATTCAGCCAGGCTCGATCTGAAAAGATGCCTTTCGATAAGGCTCCGCTGGACACTTATGTCATTGATCGTTCTGCCCTACAGTTGTCTGGTTCTTCGCATGACAACAACCCGCCCCCTTATGAGCAGGTCGCAGCTTCTACCAACTCTCGGGCCATCGGTCGCATCAGGACATCGGCATCGCCTTTTCTTTACGGCACCAAAGATTCGACAGCAACAATTCTCGTCGATTACATGCCGATGATGCTCGAAGCATCGAGTGCTGCCACCAAGCCGGAGAAGAAACGACTGGACCATGTACAGCGGACTCTGGAGCAGCTCGTGCAGAATTCACGTGTGTCTCACCTGGGCTTGCTGAAGTTCCTGGGCTATTTTATCGACATGCCAAATTCCCGATACGCATTCGTCTATCAGATGCCTATGGACTACTTCCCATTTCTTCGCAACCCGACTGATCTCTTGAATGGGTTGAAGCCGAAACCCCTCGTCTCCCTTCTTCAAACAAGCGATGAACACCCTATTCCGAATCTAGAAACGCGCTTTCGCTTAGCTTATGACCTCCTGATGGCAGTTCTACAGCTGAGGAGCCAGAACCTTGTACATGGCAACATCAACAGCAGTAACATTCTTATCTTCCCCGGCTTGACGAACTCGAACCGCGATGAAGTCGGACTCACGGAGGATTTGCGCCGTCCCTACCTCACATCATTTGCTCAATTCTCTGGAAACGGGCCGTCACCCGAACCCTTGTCTTCCAGCATATATCGTCACCCAGACGATAAGCGGTCGATGGAGGATGATGCTGCCTGGGCCTATGACCTGTACTCACTTGGCCTCGTGCTGCTCGAAATTGGACTTTGGACTCCCATTAGTCGGATCTGGAAGATGAAGTACAACAACTCCATGTTCAAGCAAAGAATCGAGAACACCTACTTGAAGAAGCTGGGCCCCAAATGCGGCAGCGCATATCTCCACGTGGTACAGCTGTGCTTGGATGCACCAAACTTCCATCTGTCGACCCAGCCGTTCGATGACCTGAACCTCCGCGTCCCTCAGGCCTTCCACTACCCCGTCCTGGACCTCTCCGCGCCTGACAGCATCTTCTCGTTCTCTATGAACTTTCTTTACACTATGTGCAAGATCGTCTGGTCCTGCTGCAGGATAGACATGTTCTCTGCCCCTACCGCTGATGAGCTGGATGATTGCCTTCCGCTTGCCCTTGTTCCTGGCCTGGATTCGGCGCCGATGAAGGAACCCGTTCGTGAGTTCAAACCTACTCCGGAGCCCATCCGACCTTTCCAGGAACCGTTTGCCACGCTACCTACTGCCGACATGAAGATGTTCCGGGATAAGATCAACCTGGAGGAGCGCAAGGTACGAAAGCGCACTTGCAAAAAACTTTCGGGCCTAGAGATTCCACAAGACCATCTCAATAAATGGAACTTCCAGATGCTACCACGCTTGAGAAAGCTTCTACAGAAGATCCTGAAGGACTCTGCCGAATCATGCAGTGTTACACTCATGATGACTGGTGAAACGGTCGACAACGCCAAGACCACGGTCTGTGTCACTTGTGCCAGTGCAAAGAAGGTTCGGGCCGCACTCAAGAAGTATTTTGTCCTTGATAGCGAAGAGTGGGATCTCCTTGTCCTTCGTGGCGATGTACAGAGATCGAAGGTCCCACGCAAGAAGCGCCGCAGGCCGGCAATGGCAGGACAAGGAAATGCTGGCGCACCTGCGTTGGTCCAGAATGACCCAAACCCTTGCTATCAGGAACGGCCTCTATGCGGTGCATCAATTGGCGCTTTCATCAACGAAGAACATCTGCCACCTGTATCTTATGGGGGAGCTATCCTGGTCGATGGTATGCCCTATGGGATGACTGTCCATCACATGCTAGAATCACCAAGTGACCAGGAGGATGCGGATGAGCCGGATACCGGTGGCCCTCTACGGTCATCTGCAAATTGGATGCACGATATGGCAGCCCCTCAGAACCCAGAGTTTATGTACTCCTGGGCTGACGAGGGACCGTCAGATGTCGCATCAGACCTTGAATTCGAGGTTTCGGAAGACGAGGATGGGGATGATATCTCGCTGTCACCCAGTCTAGATGGAACATTCGAAGACTCATACCTTTCCGAAGGCTACTCCTCTGACGAAGATGGGGGGAATGCTGATGACCCCTATGATGACGAAGATGCAGCATCCATAGGTGATACTCCTGGGATTGATCCTGGAGACGAGCCCTTGCTATACGTCACACAGCCAGCCATTGATGACATCGATGAGAGTTATTTTCCAAGCCCTGAAGATCGCGATGATGAACATCTTGCCTCTCACGCTTTTGGATACGTACACGCATCCTCGGGTGTTCGGCGCTGGACGCGAAAAGGGATCCGACACGAGATTGACTGGGCACTGATCAAGATCAACGATGAGCGCATCAACGTGCGCAATATCGTCTACGACAAGACGTCCGTAGTGAGGCCAGACGCGTATGGACAGAGACGGGCCCAACAGGCGCGCATGCCGCGGCAACCAGAGACTATCTATCTCAATAACATTTGCCGGCTAGAAGACCTGGGGGGCCTCCGAGTCCACTGCTGTGGCCGAACCAGTGGCCTGCAAACCGGCCAGATCTCCAGAGCCATGACTCTTGTCAAACTGCATGGGCGACAAACCTTCTCCACCAGCTTCTGTGTTGATGGGAACTTCGGAGGTAAGTGAGTCTGACTCGTCTTCACAGACACACATTCAATTAAGGAATCCTTACTAATTTTTCTTACAGTGCCCGGCGACTCAGGAGCTTGGGTGTTCGAAAAGGCCAGCGGTCGAGTTTGCGGCCACGTTCTCGCGTGGTCCGACAAAACCCGCACCGCTTACATCGCCCCCATGGAAATACTCCTCGAAGACATCGCTCGCTCCCTGAATGCCAACTACATCAGTCTGCCGCCCGGCAATCCTGACGAGTCCCGCGCCAGCTCCATGCATCATCGCCCAAACCCAAACCCGTCTGCCATGGACCCCTACCACCAACATCCTGCCTACCACGCCCCTCGCCCTATCCGCGGCCAACTCCCCGTGGACATTAACCCTCTTCGCATCGATGACGGAGACATGGGCTCCTCCGTGAATCCCAGTCGCGGAACGCGCGAAGTATCAACCCCATACCGGGGAATGCCTATCCTTAGCCCACCTCGAAGCCTGGAAAGGCAACTCGCATGACTCGCTCGCTGCTCTTCCCCCGCCTCCATAAGCAGCACTACTATACATTCCTTACCTTAATAACTGTACTTGCTACTATATTCCCCACCCGCACACTGACGGACTATTCCCTTTCTGATGACATTGATTTGAACGAGTGGACAAGAACATAATACCCCATTTTGTTTGTTTTGGTTGTGGCTATTATTTTGCTTTGCTGTTTTCGGTGTTTGAGCTGGTTGGTTCCATCCCTAC